AGTTGCCACAGAAATGCCATCAATTTTGTCTGCACCACAATCAATTTTGCAGTGATATGTATATCCCCCATTGAGGCATGGCTTAAAGAGTTTGATTCCAAATTTATGTTTCTTTCCTTTCACATATTGGCAAAATTTTATTTATTTATTTATTTCAACGGTAAAACCATAAAATACAACAAATAGTAAAAAGGGGCTGAATTTCGTCTGTTTTCTTCTTCTTCATGTGCCTTTCTGTTGTTGTGATCTGTTGTTGTGCCTATCTGAATGTTGGCAATCATCATGACAATCTTTATCTTATCTGTAGCAGTGCGGAAAAGCTGCATATATGTTGTATTGAACCAGATTCTGAGGTTCTCGCCTTTATCGGAGGCAAAAATTACAGGAGGCCAAAGCTTAATTTAAACTGTAGCCCATTGGAAGAAGAAACAATTTTCTTCAATATTAATATCGGATGTTGCCTGTGTAAGTTTTAATTGTGGTGTTTTCAGAGTCATTCCATGAATTAGAATTCTAAGGTAATTTTTCGCGATTTCTTACACATCTCGCTAGAGATGTATGTAATGTGAATTAACCTGTAATTAACTCTGTATGTGATGTGAATTAACCTGGGACGATTTTCCACTCTGCAATAAATTATTTATGATCAAAATTTGTTAAAAGTTTCAAGCGCCCGTTATTATGAACCTAAGTGTAGTTAAACTAATAATTAAAATAATATACATAATTAAAACAATTTGGGAAATATTGTTTAAGATATATTTACGATATTAATCCATTATTTATTAAATAAGTCCATATTCTTCTTGTAAAATATATAAATATAGGATGAATAGTAATACTCGAATGATCAAAAGGTCTATTATAAAAGAAGGAGATTATTAATTTTCAACGACAAATAAAATTAAAGCTATAAAATTTGTGGAAGTGAAGTATTTATTAAGAATATAACCGACATAACATTAACGGAATTCGGTTCGGTACTTGCCTAAAGTGGCGCAGTCATTCGGAAATAATAAGCGAATTTTTAGACCCACAAGACAAGAATGATTATTATATTAAAAAGGAAAAAAATGATTGAAACAAATCAAACAGTGGGAAATCACCTGGAATCGTATTGACATATATAGCGAATGATTAAGAACTGTTTTATCTAATAGACAGATGAAAATGCTAAAATACCCGAAAAATAAAGAAAAGAAAAAATCACGGTCTAAGTGTTTAGACCAGTGGTTCTCAACCTGGGTTCAAACCTTGTTTACTTACTGCTTCTAGTATCGTACTTAGTGAAGACAGTTGTAAGAAGGTAGAAAAAATTTTTCTCTCAAATGATACAGGAAAAAGTAGAATTTATGACATATGGCTATGGATTTGAAAAATCAACTATTGCAAAAATTAAAAGGTTCACCGTTTATTTATTTGCAGTGTGACGAAACAACTGATAGTTCAAAGCATGCACAGTTATTGTTTTATTGTCGATTTATTGACAGAAAACGGTTCCTGGAGGAAATATTGTTTTCAACATCTCTTGAAACAACAACTAAAGCCTTTGTACATATTTTCTGCTCTTGAAGATTTTTTAGTAATCAATGAACTTCCATGGGAGAAAGTAATTGGCATATGTACTTATGAGGCCCTAGCCATGATGTCGATCAGGATTTTTGGAACTAGCAAAATAGAAGAACCCTAGGATACTTGGTTCTCACTGCATTATTCACAGACAAGCTTTCGCTAGTCAGACTTTACCTAAACCTTTCAACGTCACATTAAACTTTGCAATTAAAATAGTTAACCACATCAAATCCAGCGCATTAAACACTAGGCTCTTTCAGGCACTATGTCAAGAACTGAATAGTGATCAGGAAACCCTCCTTTTTCACACAGAAATCCGGTGGTTGTCCAAAGGAATATGCTTGCAAGATTATTCAATTTAAAGTCAGAAGTTGAAATTTTGTTAATGACTTTAAAACAAGAAGATCTTCACAGAAGATTCACAGATAATCAAAACATCTTTTACTTGGCTTATTTGTCTGACTTTTTTGAGAATGTCCTGAATCTGAAGCTTCAAGGCCGTAAAAACCTCTTAAACACTTATGATGCAATTAAGGAGTTTATAGAAAAAATATCGCTTTGGCAACACCGCCTTCACAGTTCCAAGCCAAACTTTTCCTCTTTTCCTAAACTGAACGACATCCTCGATGATATTAAAACCCTTCCACTACATCTAGTTTCATATTTGAAAGACGTCATATCGCGGCATTTGGAAAAACTGAAAAATCAAATTCGAAAGTACTTGCCAGATGTTAGCTCCGAAAACTGGGAATTTAGGTTGACAAGAGATCCTTTTCATATCGAAGTTGACATTCTTCCAGTTAACCTTCAAGAGCAGGCAGTTGACCTAAAATGTGATTCACAAGCAAATTCAGATTTTGCAAACATGGACTTAAAGAATTTTGTTTAATCCACTTTCCTGTTTACCCAGAAGTGGCTTTAGTGTCTGCGAAGTTATTAGTCCAGTTTTCATCCACATATCTTTGCGAATCTGGTTTTTCTGAATTGGCGTATATAAAATCATAATACCGTTCAAGGCTGGATGTTGAAAGTGACTTGAGGTGTGCTCTAACAGTTCCAACCGAATATCGAAAAACTTGCCAAGAACAGACAATGCCAGCCCTCTCATTGAAAGTGCAAAAACACCCATATAAGACTTTCAACTTTATATGCGTATTTGATTTTTTGATTATTCTTTTTCTCAAATAAATAAACAATGTTAAGTTTAATGAGACATCAAATAAACTTTCGTATTTAAATGTATCTGGATTTTTATTTTGCATCCCAGCTTTTGCTAACGTAGTTACTGTTCTAACTTGAACCAACCAATTATTGACTGGAGGGGAGGCGTGAGCTATCTTCAGTGTTCAAAGGGGGCGCCAGTGCTAAAAGGTTGAGAACCGCTGGTTTAGACCGTGTTTAAGAATCCAAAGGAATTTTCTGATTGACTATCTTGAAAAAGGCAAAAGCATCACTCTAGAATACAACTCTCGACTTCTAACCGAACTGGACTCAAGTATTCATGAAAACAGCAGGTTACAAATAGAAAAAAAATCTTTTCATTCCAGGCAATGTACCTGTCATCAGCACAAGTGTGTTAACAATAAAATTAAACGATCTGCACTATAAATCGCTGAATTATTCTCAAAACTGTAGCTTTTCTTGGCGGGTTCATACTATTCATCAAATTAAGAAATCATTGCAACTGTCCATGTGTATTTTGCAGCACTTATTTGTATTTCATATTTATGATTAATCATCACCCAAATTGTTATGTTACATTACTATATTTAAATATTACTAAAAAGATCGTCAAAAGATCTGTTAATTTTACACGCACAGTCAAACATGAAAAGGTGAAAAATAAGTGTATGGATACAGTTGGAGTTTGTCGTAAGAAATAAAGAAAAATATTCCTTTGCAGAATTGTTTTTACAATATTTTTTTATGTTTTTTTTTATCTGTAAGCAATTTTATGGTTTTAGAAACAAATGAATAATAGCGATAAACAGTAACTCAGTGGAGTGATATATTTATTATGGAGTATACATATATATATATATATATATATATATATATATATATATATATATATATATATATATTATGTATTAAAAGTGTTATTATTACAGAAAAAGTATTCACTAAAGCTTGTTTCACATATATCTGATAATCTGGTAAATAACATTGTGTACACTATTCTTGGGAAAAAAGTATAGGGAATGTTCACACCTGAATGACGTTGAGGTGTCAAGATTTCCATTGTGAAGACAGACTGTCAATGTCATGTAATCAGGGGGGATACTAGAGCAGTTGATATTTACCCAAAAAGTATCACCAGCCCCTCTCCTTAGGATTTTATTCCCTTACAGTCCACTTACACATAGCTGTACCATCTATGTTCAGTATTGAGTTAAACTGTGAACCTAAGCTTCTTGGATGGGCTCTGTCAGTGCTCAAACAGACATTTCTTCTCAACTTGCACATAATTGTGGTCATATTTCATGTGTGCAAAGTTATTTAAAGACCTAAATGAACTATAGACCTTTATACTAAAAATATTTTCTAACGAGACTGCCACAGAGAGACAAATGCATCTTTTAACTTTCATTTTTATACAGAATACTTTCGTTGAACCTTATAATTTTATTTTGCAGAGCCTGCATACATTATATAACCCCTCTGTACTCACTTGAGGAATATTATTTGTATCCTAAGCATTATCAAACCATGCTTAGTCGCATCTGCGCATGGTTGCATTACAAGACTTCAGCTATTCTCGTTGGTAGTTTGTTATGAACACTGATAAACACTGTATTTTACTTTTTCTGGTGAAATTCAAAGCAAATATATGCACTGGGTTTAAAAAAAATAGTCCAGACAAGTATTTTGTGTACTTAATAAAGTTTTTATGAATTCTAGTAAGTATAATGGCAAGTAGGGACCCAGAGGTCTGGGCTAAATGATTGAAAGAGTTAAAAGAAAATGAAGATATATTGTTGGGTCAATTTAACAAAAATGAAGATGAGGTAGGGGTAGTTAAGGAGAGAGAAAACTATTCTGAATTAGAACAGGAAGCTGAAGAAACGAATGGAATAGAAAATTCACTTGATACTTCACAGTATATACGAAAAGGTGCAAGGCATATGATACAAATTTTGTGGAGTACAAAAATTTATGCTGTTTATTTTAATCTTAATCTGAACATAGTTCACTCCCTTACATCTTCTTTCCTTTAAACATCTGTACAACACCAACTATTTGACTTAAACAATTGTTGGCATGAAAACATCTTTAAAAACTTATCTGTGTGCGCAGGAGCACAAATTGTCACATACAACAATGTCGGTTATAAATATAAAAATAATATTTAAACTACTTCTGCATAAGGAATAGATTTCCTGGAATTTGTATAAAAAAATCAATAAAAAAGAAAAAAACCAACTTACTTTTCTCCATATTGCTTAATTTCCCACAACTCTAGTTTATCTTCATCCACCCATTCTTCAGAGACCTGAGGATCCATATTCTGTGGTGATTCTGGTCGCTTTCTTTTTCTAAGTCCACTTCTTATAGATGTTACTTCTATATATAAAAAAAAATATCTAAACTATTTCATTCTTTAAATATAGTGGATAGAATTGAAATATTTTACTAAAAGATCAATGTCACTGGCCCATGCTAGCAAATTTTGAACTATAACAAAAAATCTCTTTGAACCATTAAGAAAAAAACTATATAACTTATATTTTAATGAATATTTTATGACCTTTTAAGATGTTACACCTTGTCACTTAATGGCTAGAGTGAAATATGTCACTTCTGTATATTTAAATCAAATCCAAACCTTAACAGGTTGATCAGATGATCTTTTGATATTTTCAATTCCAACTTTTTATCATCTAAAAGCACAGTTTACAATTCATTTACATGATTTTGTAGACGTTATTGCATTTGTAAATTATCAATCTGTCAAACCCAACCCAACTGGATTATTATTAAAAAATATTGACTACTTCTACAGAATACTATCTCTATATCAAACTATATTTCGATACATTTTTGGCAAAGTAACGTAAGTCACCAAACATGATTTTTAGAAAAAACAATTTTTTAATTCAATCTGGTTAAACTTATTTAAATTATGACTGAAAAAACTTGTCCTACTTGTCCTAAAAAAGGTTTAAATAATTCTAGTCTTACTACACTTTGGCAGTACCTTTTTAACAATAATAGTGTTAGTTTAATTGAAAAACATGATTTTCGCCAAAAATGTCACTTACGTTACTTTGCCAAAAATGTATCGATTTGTAAGATATTAACTGAGAAACATTTTTGAAATTAACCCAATGCAAACAAAGAAAAAAATTATAATACTAACCTCGAACAGTTTTTGGAAGCTCCAAAGGAATCACAACCTTTCTTCTCAGATACTGTGTCTTCTCCAGGAACCTTCCCTTATGCCTATGCTTCAAAAGTTCCAAGGATAAAATTTCAGTCTCTGTAGTGATCTGGTGTTTTCCATCAGCATTCTGTGGCTTCACTTGCATGTCATCCCACCTTAAGCAAGCCCACAATATCTTCAACTGAAGAGCAGCACAAGCTAGGGATTTCAGATTGACTGTTCTAAAGACCCAGCATGTTTTGAATAGTGGTCTAGAGCAGGGATATGGCCAAACACTATGATTTGCTTTTGCCAAAGCATGGAAACCAGGAATATATATCCTTCCAGCATTTCTTCCTAATTTTCTAGTATCATGAGGTGGTAGTACTAATAATGAGGAACAACTTTTTAATGTTTTAAAGGAAGAACAGGCTGGATATTTTACTATCTGTTTGGTTTTGCGTTTATTGTCCATAGAAGGTACTTTCTTTAATACTATTTTCCCTTCAGTACTTTGGGTTGAATATATTCTTTCAGTTCCATCTTCTGCACGTTCTGCTTTAATAGTTTTTTCTTCTCTTTTTGTGCCTAGTTTAAAAGCACAAAATCTTCTGTTTTGTTGGGCACTGTATGCGGTAGTCCTGCTATTGAAAGTTTGTAACGAACTAGTTGATCCATTATTTGATGAACTGGTTACTGTAACAACATCTGTTATGTTTTCAGAACAAGATAACTTTCTCACTGTTCCATCAACTACTGTTGTGCTAGTGGTAACTGTGGATGTTGTAGTTACGGTATGTGTCATAGTTTTAGAAGGGTTTCCTCCTAAAATCATTTCTTTTACTGTTTCAGCAGATATTTTATTCAAATCCATCTCTTGTGGTTCTGATTTTACTTCAAGTTTAAGATCTTTGACAGGTACATAAATGTCGCTCTGATCTTCTACTTTAGCAGCTGTGTCTAAAGCAGTAACCAATCCTTTGCAGATATTTTCTCTTGTTAAAGGAAGAGTTTCTTTGTTTTCTTTAGGTAATAAACTCAATTGGGGTGCCTTTAGGGTTTGTTCTAAAATTGATGGCTTTTTTATTACACTGGCTGGTGCCTGTATTGTGATCAGTTTATTTGGTGAATTTGTTGCTAGATTTGCTTTTCTTAGTAAACTTAACAGATCTTTTCTCACTCGTACTCTCTGCATACAAAGAGGTGAATAACAGGTAGTTTCTATACTGTTACCCGCCCCAGAATTGCATCCTTTAACATAACATTGAAAATCTTTAGCTAACCTGGCAATGGAGGTATACTGAGTTCTTAAAAGGTTAATACGTTTTGCTATAGAATTCAGTACATCTCTATTTGGGGCTGGAGTTTGTTGACTATTATTTGGTAAAACAACTTTCCCAGTCATCAAATTATTTAGTTGCTTGTCAATACCTTCACTGACGGGCTCTTCTTCTGTTTCTACATCAACATCTTCCTCTTTTTTGACTCCATCTGATTTTGATGTTGAAATTTTCTGTTCTTCCATATTTTTAAGTTGGATTCTTCTTGCCAATAAAGTATCTAATTTTGATTTTTTTGCAACTTTTGGATATAATATTCGACCAGTTGCAGTTAGAGCTTTACTGACATTAATTTGTTCAAATTGTTTCACAGAAGGGACAATTTCAATGTTTTTCAGGGAATTTGGAACATCTGTATCATTTAAATTACTAGACTTAAGAAATTTGTATGCTGCTGGATCTAGTGACATTACCTTAGTTCCTTTGCTATCTTTTATTTGTACCATTATTTTCTGAGGTGAGGCTAAGCCTAGTTGCCTACAATCAACATGCTGAAAATTTCTAGGTGTCCTAATCCACAACCAACCCCACCTTCCATGAATTCTATACTCTTCACCTTTCTGTTTCCACAACTGGTGCTTAAAACTCATTGTATATTTCACATAACCACTAATGATCATTCTATTCCTCTCTTCCTCTTCTTCCCTTTCCTTCTTTTCCCTCTTCTCTAGCTTCTTTCGCTCCTCCCTTTCAGTTGCAGTAACTCTAGCTAACTTAATATGTCCCAGGTGTTCATGCCACACATTAGCAAAGACAACAGGTTTAATACAAGCTTGCAGTACAACAAGAACTCTAGCAAAATCCTTTGGTTGTTGGCAATTTGAGACTAGATTCAACCAGTGTTTCCTTAGCAGATGCCAGTTGGGATGCATAAAAGAAGATTGAACTTGCTGTTCAAGTTGTAAAATAGACTGTCTCAAAGTATTTGACATAAGAGTTTTGGAACCGCTACATGCTCCTATCCATTTGAACTCAGAAGCAGGAGTCAGTGAGAATTTATGAGAAAGATGTCTTTTCTTATCTCTTTCTTCATTTTTCTGGGGTTTATTTAAGGCAATTGCGTTTACTGTGAATTGGTTAACATACATTTTAAATGAGTTTTCCATGCCAAGTTTAAACAAATATGTGCCATTGGCCATTTGACTAGATTTTAACCTTGTCATTCTCGACTCATCAGTATCATCTCTGTTTAAGAGGCCCAAGGTCTTCTTTCTTAAGTCATCCAGATTAAAAGTTCTAGGTACTAAGGCACCAGTTTTAGATCTCGTAACCACTTCTTTATTTTTATTATTCTCATCTTCCTTCTCTGTTTCACTATTATCAATTGTACTTTCTAACGTTGATGTAGTTACAACCTCAGTATTTTCTACATCCATTGGTACTTCAGTGGTTTCAATTTCTTCCATCTTTTCTACTTCATTTTCAACATCTTGTTTCTCCAACTGACGCCTTTCTTCCTCTAACTTTTCCTCTTTTTCTTTATTCATTTTAATAATAGCACTATTCTCAGCATCAAGATAGGTCTTTTTGTTAGCTTTATATTGGTTAGTGAGCTTTTCTGTCAACTCCATATGTTTTGTTATTTCACTGCTAAGATCTTGTAGCTCCCTGTATAAAACACTCTCCATATCTTTGGCATCAAGGGTCTTCATTACTTCTTGGAACTGAAGAGGAGTTGAGTAATAATGGATTTCACCTTCTTGACTTTCACTATTATCAAAAATAAATTTATAAATAAAAATACTATTCATAATACATAGTCACATAGTTAAATGACATGAAAGGCTGGATAAATTATTTGCATGATAAATATTATAGTTGTAATTTACTATGGTGTAGCAACAATACAATAAAATGTAATGAAACATAAGAAACAGATAGGATATAGATTTTTTATTTGGTTTTTTAAGTGATTCATTTAAAAATACTTCTATTTTAGTAATTTTTTGAACAAAAAATATATTTATTGCAACCAAAAGACAAGGAAAATTTTAAAAACAAAAACAGAAAAACTTATTTAGATGCAATAGATTGACTAAATCCACGATTATTTTGTGAATTCTACTCTATTTTGCCTGAACTATAATAAACATCAGCCGCACACTACATTTCATAGTATTTTTAAATTAGAAACTTACACGAACAGCCTTCTGCACAGAAAATAATATTTTCTTCCATGTCTGTCATATCCTAAAGGCTCCTGTCTGGATAATAGTCCCTGTTTCTCCAAGCCTCGAACACAATCAACAACTCCTGAGACCTTGTGAGATCTGCATAGTGGGCATTGCCAATCATCTAAAGGAACAGAAGTCAAGGGGGGATCAGCACATCCCAAATGGTATACTGCTGGGCATGTTTCGCAGCACAGTAGATCTCCAAGCTTGTGACATATTCGACAGTGGTCATCATATCCAATAGATACTGAAAAGAAATATGGTGTTAAAGAAGTTAAACCAGTAATTTCCATTGATAAACAAAGTTTAGAATTAACAAGTTGATCTTTTATAAGGAAAGAAATTGTTGTCACCATTTGATTTTAAACACAAACTGTCAATCAGTATTATTCATAAGGACAGTACAATAATTAAAAAGGTTAAGATTAAGTTGTTTACTAATAAAAATTTTGTGTTCCAAATATATAATTGTATGACATTAGAACTATTAATGAATAATAACTTAGTTTTTGTGAAGGGGATCATTTAATAGGTACTAGGAGATAGCAAACACACCTGGAGAAACACAACTAATGCATTAACGACACTGAAAAGAAACTACTGGTTGAATGAGGCTCCAGAATATCAGAATGAAAATAGGAATGTAATGTAGTGAACAAGGGCTGATGATGATCATGATTTTGAAGTGGTCAATCTGTTTATAGATTGGTCAGTAAAATTGCACAATCTTGTTAAATAAAATTTTTAACTGTATTGTCTTCAAATAAAGGAGTAAAAAATATAACAATATCTAATAATATCAATTTCTAATAAGATTGGTATGCCTTAAGATCACTATATTTCAGAAATATGTAGTATTTTGAGATACAAGGGATTTTTCCAATAATATGCAATTAAAACTACTTCAATGTAATGGAAAATGATGTGAAAAGAAATGATGTGATAAAGTAAGTGTTTTTTCTAACTATAAACATAGTACATATACATATGCAATGTTTTTACATTCAATAGGTAAATTTTCTGTAAAATGGTAAGATATTTTTTCGAAATATGGTACAAGCTTTCAAATATATAACTATTGCATAAATTGATAATACCTAACACATTTTGAGAGTATTATTCATAAAAAATAAATTAATATTAAGAAAAAAATATTATATTGTTTTATTTAATTTTGTGTAATACCTACCTCTATTCAATATTATTATGTAAATTACAAAAATAATTGCAGATAACAATTTATATATGTGGTAGACATGTAAAAGAAGCTGAAGAACTTCTTATACAGATCAATATGAAGCAAATGAATACACTGTTAGCGATTGATGTCTATGTTATTGTAATTAACTTTTTTATAATGCTACTTGCAAATTTTTCTGATGTTATGCAGAAACAATTGGTTTAATTTATTAGTAATAAGAAAAAATTGTATAAAATGTATAACAAATATGGATAGTATAAAATTTAAATCAAGTACTAAACACCTACCTTCACTGATCAAATCCTCTCTTACATGGTTTGTAGTCAAGTATTGGTCTGTTAAAAATTGAAGAACTTTTATTCTATCCTCAAGTGTCGAGAAAGGATAATCTGTAGTAGAAAGAATTTCTAATACCTTTTGATCAAAGCTTTTGTCACTTTCTATATAAGCTCTTAAAACTTCAGGATAAGTAATATAATCAACCAGGTACAAAGATATATTTACACTATCTTTTTGGTCAAGAGGTCCAAAATGAGTCTGCTGTGAATCTTCCTCTCTTAATAAAGCTTTGAGTAACATAATATGAATTTCAGCCAAAAGACTACTCTGATCTTCGCACATTATAGCAGCACAGAAGTCTTCTAATCTAAATGGAGATAATCTTACCAGGTTTCTAAAATGTCTTAATACTTCATATATACTAAGCACTTCCATTATTTCTTCCTTAGGTACTAATAAATCATCTGAAGACTTAGGTAAAACTAGGGGAGGTATTTCTCGGTTTTGTAGCCATAAAGGAGGATCTGGCGTGGGCGCCCTATTCAAACTGTAACATTTACGAGGAGTTCCACTAACAGTACTATAACCACTTAATGAAAAGTCACTATCACTACCCCGGTCAGGCACAGATCCTTCAGATTCACTCTCGCTCAACGCCATTTCATCTTCAATATCACTTTTGTTTTCACTGGAATCATCTCCAAAATCCGAGCCATAATGGTACTCAGATTCATGATAGTCATTCGGGGCCGTATTGTAGCCCCTACGTTGATAAACAGATCCAGCATAACCAGATTTTCGACCAGCTCTATGTCCATCTTTACCCCTAATTCTATTACTACTACGCCTACTAGACTCACTCTCATGTGGGGAAGATGCTCTAGAAGCTGTTGGAGTACTTGACTGAGAGTCTGGACCTTTATAATTTAACAAATATTTGGGTTTCTTAAGGAGGTGTATCTGAAATTTTTTGGTTCTTTCTGCTACTTGGACCTTAGGGGGACGCCCCCTCTTTTTCATACCTCTTGTTGACATCCTTGGGGTCAACTGTCAATCTTTGAATAAAATACACGTGGTAGATTAGGAAAACAAACGACAAACAACAAATGGGAATGTCAAAATTTTACTTTATGGTCGTTGTCCGATCTTTCCGCCATAATAATCGGATAGGTCACGTGATAAACAACACAAAATACATTGTGCTTCGATGCTTTGCATTTTTCTTGCACAAACATGCTTTCTCATGTCATTTTCAGCGTTTACTGTTATTAAACAAGATGAAATTAATCACTTCTGCAAAAAATCACTCAATACTTAAATGACGCGTATCGCAAAGCGAAAAAGAACACTTTAACAACCGACGCATCGAGCGTTCCTATTGGTCGATCCCATGGCCGCCATGACAACTTGCAATTATAATGTATATATCGTTTATAAATATACACCACCACTTCACTTTATGCCAAAATAGTTCTCACTAAAATTTTATTGCACAAATATTTTTTAGAAACCACACACGCTTCAACTTTAACCAAAAATTGATTTTCTTGCTGTGCCCAGACGTTCAGCACAAGCCTTCATAAATGACTCCCGATAAAAATTATAGATGTCGCTAACAATCTTTGAAACATAATTTCAAAATTTTGTAATAAAATTACGTATAAATGTATAACATACTTATTAAAGAGTCTATAAGTAATTTTTCAGGAAAATATATGTGTATATTTTGACGTTTTCCAAATAATTTTTAAAAATTTTGCTCATTTCCGGTACTAGCCGGAAAGAGAGACAGAAAATAAACATATTGTGCAAATCCGCAACTGCGCAGTGAGTTTTAAACTCAAAATGGCCGAATGACAGAACTGGTTTGTCAATACACATTATCGACTCGTTAATATATTTTTATTAAATTATAAAACATTGTAAATCCTTATTTTGTTGTTATATTTCATCAAAAATTTTTTAATAAAATTAATTTTGTAAAATCATGTAATTAGGCTTAGTAAATATGAAGTTTTGCCTCTTTTAACAGTGATATACAATATCGTCTGCACCCCTTTTTAAGAGCGCCAGTGAAAAATTATTTAGCGGAGGGAAGACTGATTACCAAAAAAATATATATCGAATTTCTAAAGATAATTGTAACATTTTAGCGAAGAAAAATGAATGGGCCGATAAAAATGTATCGAACACGACAAATTATTCACCACGATCAAAAGATTGACAAGCCGAAATGTATGTATGCTCTAAAAAATATCTACTCAAAAGACTCCCAAGATATGGTCGACGAGTCCACAGATCACGTTTCCAGAACGAACGAAAAATCGAGGATATTCGACCAGGTTAAACAGTTTTTAAAGGTTTTATATATTTTAAATATTTTAAGTGCATTAAGCTTTTTCTTGAGTATATTTTTAAGTCTATGTAATGCCCTACTTACCTTAAAATCCACAAAATCACCTGGCATGATACCACACTTATCAATTTTTGCGAACAACTGTCAAATAACTATTCAAAGCAAAGAAGGAACTATTACTGTTTTCCTGTTGACTTTTCTGTTCTCTGTTCATTTTTTTAGTGGCATAATTGTGTACCATCCTAATTAATAATAACTGTAGTATTAGAATGTATCACATCTGAAGCACAATTTTTAATGCTATTTAAGGATATTTAATTTATTAATCATTTTCAATTCAGAATAACCATCAAATTCCTGGCATGGCAGAATTAGAAGCTAAACAAGAGGAAATTTTAAAACAGCTGGCAGACCTCAAGAAACAAATTCTCTCAATTAAATTGGATTTAAAAATTAATGCAAATTCAGTAGCAACAAATAAGACTTCCCCAAGTATGTCAGCAGAAAAGGTGAGTGGTATTTTGTAATATTCAGATCTTAATAGGTTCAAAAGGACATTTGTGTAGTAATTTGGTATATTTCATCATTGTTAAGGCATGCTTTTATCTAATTTTTAAGATATTTTATTACTATTTTGCTTGTCTGTAAAAAATACCAAATTTATGAAAGTTGTATCCCTTAGGAAGCCAAAGAGAAAAAGTTATATATTTTTGTTGTATAAGTATCTTGGGGTTGTTCACCTTTGATTGACATTGAATTTTTATTATAAAAATATAATTTCTTATCCTTCCCTGCTATCTGTAATTTCTTAGTAATTTTATAATGAACATATTGCATCAACTTTTACATAAGTAGAAAACAAAAATGGGCAGTAAGTATGTGTAAAATATAGTTGGTAGATAATATATATATATATATATATATATATATATAAATATATAGGTATAGAAGTATTTTGGTATATATAGGTATATAGGTATATAACTCACTTGTTCGCTTTCGAACTATTCAAACTTCTCAATTTCCCCAATTTTTATTAATTACTATTAATTTGTACTGTTAAATACTTCCCTCTTATATATTCTTGGTCTTTGACTTGTCCCATTTTTACCTTGTATTTCTTATTTTTTTTTTTAGAAAAATCCACTTTTTGAAAAGTTATGACCATGAAAAATAATTATCAGGAAAGAAATCCAAAATAATTCGTTGATGCAGCCTATTAAATATAAATGATTTACCTAAAAAATTGTTAATTTCAACACCAAGCTCAGGTGAGAGCAAAAAAATCTACAATAGAAATTGCATTCACACTAGTTGTACAAAAGTTGATAACTATATATCAAACCATCTTTATTTTAGTTTTCATTTCTTTCTTTTCATGATTGAGCCCTGCTTTAAGTCTATCCTTGTCATTCTCTCATTACACATTCCCATCAAATGTCCCATCCACCTATAGTCCCATCCAGTTGCTTATACTAGGACCAATATACAGTTCTTTTTGTTCCATATTTGTTTGCCTCCAAATATAGCTCTGAACATTTTTCTTTCCCACCATTCCAATTTTCTACTAGCATATGTCACTCTGGATCTTATTGTTATATATTCTTATATTTCTTTTTCTCTACATATATTTGGATGTCATCAGTGATATTAGACCATTTTTATTTACCTTGCCAATTCTTTATATCCTTTTTCTTTAATATATTTCTATAATAACTTCCAGATAAGTAAAATGGTTCTCTCTACATTCTGACCATCTTCTTTGTGCTTTGTGTCTCTGAGTATCATGTACTCTGACATATCCTGGTTTATTTCTAGATCAAAATGTTCAAATGTTATGTGTTTTAATGAATTGTCAGCTGAATCAAGTGAGGATATAGCAAAACTTGTTTGCGAGTTATGGTTCTGATAACCCCAGTATGTAAAAAAGGTGACAGTATAAAAAAAAATATAGGCCTGTTGTTATGATATCTGCTTTCCTTAAACTGTTTGAACTAATTCTAAACAAATATCTCACTTGGCATTGTAGAAATATCTTGATTAATGAACAACATGAATTTAGGCAAGGTAAATTCACATCTACAAATCTTGTTTTGTATCATGACTACATTGTCAGGGCTTTCGAGGGTGGGTACCAAGTGGACTTCACTTATATGGATTTCTGGAAGTCCATAATGATCTATTATTTGCTCATCTTTAAATTAAGATGTATTGGCTTTCCGGAGTAGTTTCTTTCATTATTAAGTATTTATCTTGATAAAAGAGTTCAGTTTGTTTTTATAAAGGGTACACTCTCAATTCCTATTTTGGGCAGTTCAGGAGCCCCACAAGATTCACAGGTGGGTCTTCTGTTTAAATTGTTTATTAATGGTATTTATGAAGTAATAAAGTTGTGTCAATTTTTGCTATTTGCTGATAACCTTAAGCTATAGTTCAAAGTTTCAAATCTGACTGTATAAGGATCCAAGAAGACCTGACTTTCCTATATAATTGGTCTCTTTCCAATGGTCTCCAGTTGAATAAAGATAAGTGTTTTGTTTCAATACTATTTTCAACATGGTTACATCATTTTAAATCTGTTATTGTGGTGGTTTAAATCTGCTATTGTGTGCCAATATCAGTGGGCATAAGTAAAATCTTAAATTCACAACATTTTTAGTGGCAGACATAATTGAAATACATATTTTGTTTCAGCCTCCAGTGCTATAAATTTCCTTAAAATTTTGATGTGCCACTCTATCTCAATTGCTAAAAGATTATAACTAGTATTAGATCCAGTCTATTATGTGCAACTGATTAGTCTGTGTAGTATGGTGCCCAATACTATTATGATATTATTTTTATAATATAATTATATAATAAACATTAAACTGTTTTAGCTGGATGCTCTTCCTGATCTTGTTGTGAATGCAAGCCCAACAAATCCGCCATATTCGTTACTGCTAATTCAGAAGCTACTACATGACATTGTTGAATTGAAGGTTACGTCCCATATACACTCCTCAGTTCCAACATTGGATGAAAATGCCAAAAAACTCAGTGACTCATTGGCAAGTTATGTACCAAAAAGTGGTGTACCAAGTGTTAACATTAAATTGATATGGAAAAATGGTAAGTAGGTTTGTTAAAATATTAGTTATAGTCTGACCAGTGAATCTGACATTGTTTGCATACACACAATCATTTCTTTTCTACCATTAGGTGTTGAGGGATTTATTATAGGTGTAATACTGTTGTAATGTGTTGGCAAAAATTTTGTCGTGATTGATATAAAATTTATTTATATTAACAAATTAATCTCAAACACTAATATCACACACTTGGTTTTAATGACGTCAATTCGAAGGAGTTGTTTGGGAAAATAAAATTGTTGCTTTTACTGTTTCTTTCCATTGTTACTTTTTCTAAAATTTTTCAATATTCTGTGCAATTTTCTTTCTGTAATTATCCTCTACATAATATTAGAAAACTTGGAAAAAAAGATCAATGAAATTGGTAAAGTTGTTCTTATGTTACAGCGTTACATAGGAAAATGCAGATTAATTTTTTATATAATCGATAAGATACTTTCAGGAAAACAAACAAAAATGCTAAATTTATTAATAAAAATTTATTATAACAACATTTAAAACTGTGTATGGATATAATGACATTGTTTACTGTAACATACGTAAGATTCAAATTTGTCAGCTTAATTTTGACTTTATTTTTAGTTGGCATCGACACACAACTCATGGTATCACACGTTCCAATTTTTGGAGAAGTCAACTTATTAAGATATTTAACTAGGGTAATCAGTTCTCCGCTCAGCTACAGTTCCGACTCTGATAGTGTAGAAATCGATTCGATATTAGACACTTGTTATCTTCTTCTGAGGGCACAAACGAAAAGTGAAAGGGCAGGACATGTTGCTATATTAAATAAATCCTTAGGAAAATCCGAATGGTTAGCAGGTCGAAGTAGATATAGTCTGGGGGATCTTGCTGCCTATTCTGCCCTTAAACAGGTTACAAATGGTAAAGAAATGAATGGAAATTTGACGAAGTGGTATCAGCGGTGTGAAGCTGTTGTATAAAATTGTTTTTATTATAAATATAAGCCTCAAAACCTTTATTTTGTTTGATTTTTGATCTAATACTCCCTGTAGTTCTTCACTACACCACTAGTTTACAATCACAATCAAGTATCAATTAGAATTAGAACAAGAGTATGACAAGAGGTATGAGTGCTGGTTAGATTATGTACAATAACAACAAAATCTATTTTTATTAAAAATGATTTTTGCTCAATTAGTTTAATTAAATTTATATATTATATGCGTTAGTTAAATTAAATTGTTCTTTTTCGTGTAGTAATAAACTATACATTTAGTCTGAAGATTGGTCTGATGTTCTAAGATTTTATTTGACGTTGACTCCACAACTTCGCTTGGATTGGATTGTATGTTATGCTGGTTAATAACTTTTCTTGAAGTGTAGAGTAACAATACTTTGATTTCTGATTCTGCAAATTCTCTAGAAATAAAAAATGTGAAATAACGAGGCTGATTCTCGAACATTTACTTTACAACTCTGCTTGACAAGATTCAAAAACATTGAAACAAAATGAAGTGAAAATCTGTTTGAAAATGGTGGTGTCACCAATGGTCACTGGATTTGACTCGTGATGAGAAATAAACCATTGCTTGTGATCGCTGTAGAACTAAATTTTATTTGGTAGAAAAAATTTGTTGACCTCTGAGACAAGAGCTGTTGTGTTGCAGAAACAGTTGCTGTTTTTTTGTACTACATGTAGGTACATATTTAAAAGGATTCCAAGGTTTATTCAGAAAATTGTTAAGTTGGAAGTAGAAATAAGCATACTAAAGGATAAGATTGTGTCTCTAAAAGGCAACAAAACTAAAAATACATCTATTCTTTGTTTCAAGTTAAGAAAATAACATTACGCTTATGGAGATCAGTGTTGCCAAAACTCTCAGACACTCTCTTTTGCACGGATGTCCAAGATATTCCCTTTGCTTAATTTTTGAATTTTTATTTTCAATAAACATTTAACTGTAAAGTCAGAATAACTACTAAATAAAAGCCTTATTATCATTATGTAGTCAGAGAACGACATAAAATAGCTGACATACGCACATCATATTATTTTAAGTTGCAATTAGTAATTAGATATACGCATTCCAAGCGGTCAATATTTTCTACTGATTTCTATGATTCATGGCATACCTATCGTATTCTCACCGAAAAACAAATAAACTGTCTTTACTATAATTAAAATAAGATAAAATAAAATTATCTTTTGTAAATACTATTTATCTAATTAAAATCATTTTCCCTACTTTTCATCTCTTGTTTCGAATGGGCACTTTTGGTCAATTACCTACGTTAAAAAACATTAATTTAATTCATGTTTGCTATCGTCCATAAGAAATACATGGCCCTATCTCCGCAATGTTATTTTCTAAACGTGGAACGTAGTATAGTGCTGTTTATTATGAAGTTTAGCAACGCATAGAAAGATCTCAATTATATGATTTACAATGTTCTTGAATATAACACAACCAATCTCAAAATAGCTTATTGATTACGGTTTACAGCAGGATAAAGCTACTATATTATGTTGTGTTATATGAGTAGACAAACCCTCTTGTCGAAATAAGCCAGTCAAAGTCATGTGTAATGATTCAACAGTTAAATTATCTCTTAAATCTGGAAGTAAACTTGGTGGAACCACATTCAAGATATTAAAAGACTAGACAAAAATGAAACAAGGTTGCTAAAATGGAATTTTTGGAAAGAACATCTGCTGGGGAGGTTAACTAGATTATTCGTCACCTTAGTGGCAGTAGCTAAACAAAAAAAGAGGCTCTACCGCAGTAACTGTATACTTCCAGTATGTAGGCGGTCTGCTATTGATTCGGACTTTTGAGACCGCTGCTCTGAAAAGTTCATTTGATGTACATCCTTACCAGTCTCTCAGGTTGCACATCCATGACATTCTACGCCTCCCTATGCTTCTCTTTCATTGGATCTTTCTCTGCATAATCAGTTGGACCAAGGTGTATTTCTCTCCACGTGTAATATGTTCAAGATATTCCAATTTTCATGTTTTAATTGTATTTAAAATTTCTTTTCGAAAAAACATAGCACCTCGCCAATCTTACTCTTAGTTGCAATTTTAAATCCCTTGTACATAGAGCTCTTCTCATTTTGTTGAAATTTGCTCTAGCCTTTTCTATTCTAATTTTGATCTCCCAAATGTAATAATTTGTGCAGTTAATCATTGTTCCCAGATATACATGTTTGCCCACTTGTTCGACGTTTCTACTATAGAAAAGATTAATATTACAGGCAAGTGCCATTTTACAATGGTTATCGAAAGAAGTATGGCAAAAATTTAAAGATGCCCGGATTAGAAAACATTGGTTGATTAATTCATTGCCTTTCACACTGTTAAAATAATTTAAAAACTAAAAATAATTGAAGCACAGTATTAAAATGTTTTATTGGAACAATTTGTTTTACAAAAATTCAATATTTATTATTTTTATTTTTTACAATATCATTAAAAAAATAAATGCACAGTAAAAATATTTTACTTCATTAAAACGTCGTCGGTGTCTGTAAACACATTCTCAGTTTAGTTTAGTCCCTTGAGGACTTGCCTGAATCGATCCAAAAATACGTTTACATGATTCTCTTGCAGTGTCAAAGATGGTCTAAATCTTATAGCCAATTCACCGGATCCTCCAGTAAGTATACCTAAAAAAATATTAAATACATACATTCAAGTATATAAACGACAGTATTTTTGTTGTCAATACAATAGAATAAACATAACTTACCCTTTTTCTTTAAGTTTGCCACTACTTTGTCTCTCAAAGCAGAGGTTTCTACATTTACCGCCAAAAATGACCCCCTTCCTCTGACAGAATTTAGTACTGGAAATTCATTTTGGCATTGATGTAGACCAGCCTTTAGCTTAGCTCCAACAGTGTTTACCTGATCCAAAAGGTTTTGCTGCTTCATCACTTTCAGGAATGATTCAAGCAGCAGTAGTTTGCTTGGGTCTCCCATCCAGGTATTGTAGACTCTGTAAGTTTGTGTTGGTCTGAAAAAAACAAAAAGATTGGGTAAGTTTAGCAAAACAACAGAAAAATTCACGTAAGTATTGAAAGGGGACCTAACCTAATCTAAGCCCATCTCTAAATGTGTTACAAAATGAATCTAAATTAAGAAAAATCTTCAAGTGTTTTCAATATTGAAGGACCAATTAAGCGTTTAATCATATTTATTTCGCGTACAACACTTACTTATGATCTAAGTTATGATAAAATCCTCCAGTCAGCATTTTCTTGCTGAAAGTGACTATATCTGGTGGATTGTCCAAGTTAAAATGTTCGTGGCACCACATTTTTCCAGTTGCTCCTCCACCCGTTTGGACTTCGTCTACCAAAAAGCCAGCACCATTTTTCTTTGCAATTCTTTGTAGTTTTTGGAAAAATTCAGGAGATGCTTCGTTATCTCCTCCTTCCGACTGGATCGGTTCGATGATTATACCAGCAACGGGAACACCTTAAAAAGAGTAAGAATTTGTTACTTGAAGATTGAATAATAATAGTGATCAATGAAACGAACCTTTTTTGTTGTATTTCTCAATCAGTTCTTCTACGACGGCTAAACATTTTTCATCTTCAAGTCGATTTTCTCTCTCGTTTTGTTCTAATGGATACTTATACTTTGGGAAAGGCGCCACTGGCCAGTCAAATGCAGGAATATCCAGTTTGTGTATAGCTTTGGAATGTGTAGTAGATAGAGTGCCTATGGTTCTTCCGTGGAAACCGCCGTGGAAGGAAAGTAGTGATAGGTTTGGAGCACCAGGAGGTTGGTTAACCATACATGAAGATTTTTCCAACTCTGAAATTATCATTTAATTATGTATTTAAATAGTTTTTTTAAACCAGTTCAAATTTTAATATCGCAGATTTAAGCTAGCCTTGATATATACGAGGGTGGATGGATATAAAACTAGCCTTTGATAGAAAAAACAAGTTTTTTGGAATTAAATCGATTTATTTCTCAACATAGTCCCCTTTTAGCTCTATACAATTAATAAGATGATGTATCAATTTTTTTATCCCATCCGAATAGAACTTTTGCTCGAGCTTTTCAAAATAGGCCGAAGTTCAGCGACGACTTCATCCTTTTTTGCGAAACGGCGTCCTCCGAGCCATTTTTTTAGGTTTGAAAACAGGAAAAAATCGCTGGTGGCAAGATCTGGGCAATACGGTGAGTGTTCAACCAATTCATAGCCCAGTTCGATTTGTGAACTGGGTGATCGGTGAACCGGTGCATTGTCTTGGTGAAAGAGCACTTTTTGCGTTCCAAACCGGGGCATTTTCGACCCAATTCGACATCGAATCGATCCAATAATGCGTAGTACTCACTATTGATTGTTTTTCCTTTTTCCAAGAAGTCGATGTGGATGATGCACGTTGCATTCCAGAAAACAGTCGCTATCACTTTGCCAGCCGAATGTGCACTCTTTGCCTTGTTCGGCGGCTCTTCGCCGCGTTTGCGCCACTGTTTCGGCTATTCTTTGGTTTCCGGTGTGTAATAATACACCCAGGTTTCATCAACGGTGATAAATCGGCGCAAAAAATCCTTCAGATCGCGCCATATCATCGCCAAAAACGTCTCCGAAGTGGTCACACGTTTTTGCATTTGATCGATTGTCAGCAAACGCGGCACCCATCGTGAGGATAGCTTTTTCATGTCCAGATGATGGTGAATGATGTAGTGTACGCGTTCGTAGGAAATGTTTAGGATCTCTAATAAATCGCGGAGCTTAATTCGACCATACGATCTGCCATAATCATGTCATGGACTTTGTCAATAATTTCCGGCGTGGTGACTTTATTTGACCTCTCGGGATACTCATCATCAAAAACACTCGTACGACCACGAACAAATTCAGCTTTCCAAAATTTTACTGTCGCTAACGAAGGTGCAATCTCATCATAAACTTCGTCCAGGTCGGCTTTGATTTGCACATTCGTTCTACCCTTTTTGTAGAGGAACTTAATCACCGAACGATACTCGACTTTTTCCATTTCTCCGAAAACACAAAATTTGCTTGCTTTTGACGGCTGCGAAAACCAAACTAATGTTTTTAAAGCTTAGAATTTTTGACAGACGTCATGTAATGAATGGCAAACAACAACGAAACCAATTCGGTATCATGTAGCGCCATCTATTAAAGGCTAGTTTAATATAAATCTATCCTCGTATAAGCCAACTTAGTTGCTTATCAACATTTTCAATATAATCAACGATCATGAATAAAAATCTAAAATTACTAACAAAACAAAAAACTGTGTGAAACTGCGAAATGTGTTTACCAGAAAAATCCACATCTTCTCCTCTTTGATGTTTTCTGTACGCCATAAACAAGCATTTGTAGGCATTTTCGTTAGAACACGAACCGCACATCATCGTCATTACATTTGGTAGGCCTGGTGACACTGACATCAGGACTTCTTTCAGTTTTTTCGGCCAATATTCTGTAGGGAAAGCTCCAAGTGCTGGACGGTTGACTAAAACTTTCTAAATAAATAATTATTAACGTGTTTTTTTCATATATATATATATATATATATATATATATATATATATATATATATATATATATATATACATTCTCTGTACTTTTTCTATAAAGGACACAAGATGGCGCACATATTTTTCAAAAAAATCTAAGAACGCCCAACATGTAGAAATAATTCACCACTTTCTACTTTAAACAAAGTAAAAAATAATGTGTAAATAATATACGAAGGAATATTCTCATCTCGTCAACCTACTATTATATTATACGTATTTCGCTATTATTAGCTCGTCAGATAGAACTTGCTGGTCTAGACGAAATAAAACATATACCTTTGTATATCGGTGTTTAATTTAAAACTTTTCAGTGAGTAAACCTAGTACAATCTGGATTATGCAGATGTCTGACAAGTTTTCCTTAATGTTTATCTTTATAAAGTGTAGAGTTTTATATTTACAATTTCATACTCTTTTTTGAGCCCGCCTTTATTTGTGAAATATAGTTTTAAAATATTTTTCTATGTTTTGTTTTATTTTGGCTCATTTTAATTTATCCACTGCAAAGGCAAAGGAAAAGTCAAAAACACACTCTGATATAATGGGGCAAATTATTAATATTGTTTTGACTTACTAGACTCTCCTCATTTTTGAAAACATTTAACATTTCTGGGTGGTTGTATCCTAGAGGCATCGATGAAATTTGCATAAATATATCTAAATATTTATTTCCATCTACATCTGCTATGTAATTTCCAATCGAATTTTGGTAATCGGCAAAAAACTGTATAGTTCCACTTTGCTGAAAAAAAAAGAGAAGTTATTATTTTGGTTCTACAATTATAACAATTTTACAATTTAGTTCTATATTTCCATATTTTTGAATATTTATTTCTAAAAATCTGAAAAAGAAGTGACAAAACCAAAATGGATTTATGTGTCCAATTAAGCTGGAGAATAAAGACTGAAATTATGGAAGATCATTTAACTTTAAATCAAACGATAATAAAGTCTGATGAATACTATTCTGAAGTAGCAAACTGAGTTTTCCATCACCACACTATGACAATTTGTAAGAATCCAATCTAGTAAAATTTCTTTGCTATTAAAGATACCTATTAATTTGAACGAGATAATAAAATCTCAAAGAGTTTAGCAGTGCATTACCATGTGATCCTTTCGAGTAATCCATATTTCTGGAAATTCAATATTTTCATTATAATAAATGTCCTCACAAAAATAATAGAAAGAAATCATATTTTTGGAAAAATCAACGTTATTGTTTTTCAAAATATTCGTCTTTCATATCAATATACTTGTGCATTTGAACAAACCAATCGTCAAAGCATTAATGACATTTATTATTTTGATCGAAAATGCAAAATATATTTTCAGAAAGTCGTCCAGGCAACAAGAAATAAAATACAAAATAAAAATGTCACAAGAAAATAGCTTCACGTCATTTATACCAGTTCGAAATCAGAAGATTTTTGTATACTTGACCACCGTATCTGACGTCGTAAAACGTTTACCGCGGAATTTGTTTTTGATTCTCTGGAACGCAAATATATCAAACGGTGCTAAGTCAGGAATGTAAGCGCATGGCCCATCAAATCGATGTCTTTTTACCTTCAAAAGATCGAACGTTATACGAGCCGTGTGAGAACTGTTATTGTCTTGATAAGAGGAAGGGACAATCCCGGTTGTTTTTGCGGAAACTTTTAACAAACAAATAGTTGTACACCATTCAGCATTAACGGTTCTACAATTATTTAAATCAAATCGTGATAAAATAATCTTTTTTTTACCAAAAAAACTCGTGACCATTTTTTTGCCATTACTGGGTGCACGGACAAATTTTGTTGGCTTTGATATAACACCCATAACATTGATTGATTTTTCGTTTCGGGCTCATAGCAGTATATCCATATTTTATTACCAGTTACAATGTTCCGTACCAAATTTTGAGCTGTATTTATTGAATTGTTTCAATGTAGCATGGTAAAAATAGGCATGTATCTTCTTATGGACAACCTTCACGAAATTCGTCACTGAGGCTGGTGCACTCACGCTTGAATTCTTCTAACTATTTGTGAACTAATGATGGTTATTCAAGAAGTCTAAATTAATCGACGCATTGTTGTTTAGTTCGGCAAATTTTAAAACCATATATAATCATCACACGAAAATTTTCACGAGATTCCATTGTTTTCAAGAAAATGACTCTTTTAAAAAATTGTATCTGCTAAACCCTGCAATAGATTTTCAATCTGTCAATATTTATGAAGTCGAATAACTTCTGCTATGGCGCTGTGAAAAACTTTTAGTGTAAACCTCGTATAACAAAAAAAAAATAATTCATTTGCTATTTAAATTTCACATGAAATTTACATTATTCTAAATAAGTTCTAAAAACATCAAACTCATTGCAGACATCAAAGATAAACTAAGGTTTCTATCAAGAATACATAATGAAACTATTCGACGGAGATAGAATGATGCAAGAAGAACCACAGGAACAAACAGGACCGCAAATAATAATGTGCAAATTAGAAATGCAAAGACCGCAAAATTAGTAGGCCCAGATCAGATACCCACTAAGCTAATTAAATGTATTGACGAAAAAACACTGCAAATACTTTTAGACTGTTCAACAAAGTATATACAACGGGAGTAATACTCGAAGATTGGTTGCTGTTGACGTGTTAAAGACGACTAGATATGAACCATGTCTGCTATGTCTGCTTTATAGATTATCAAAAGGCTTTTGATAGAGTACGACATCAGAAACTCGTAAAATTGTTAAAAGAAAAGAATGTGGATAGTTGAGATATAAGGGTTATTGTCAATCTGTACTGGAATCAACAAGCAAAGGTTAGAATCGAAAATGTCGATACAGAAACTATAGAAATCAAAAGAAGTGTTAGACAGGGTTGCGTGCTGTCCCCATTGTTATTCAATCTGTATAGCGAAGATATTTTTAAGGAAGCAATATCAGAGGAACAACAGGGTATATGAATAAACGGAAAAATCTTGAACAACATAAGATTCGTAGACAACACCACTGTTTTTGCAGACAGTCTAGAAGCACTGCAATACTGCAACAGTAAATAGATTACATCAAGTCAGTATACAATATGGACTACAAATGAACGTTACGAAAACAAAGTGCATGATTATTTCTAAGCAACATACAATAGGAAGGCTAGATATCGAGGGAAAACAAATAGAACGAGTATCTGGGAATAAATATCTGGGAACCTGGGTAAACGAAAATAATGACCAAGGTAGAGAAATAAGGACACGCAATAAAATTGCAAGACAAATATAAAAATAATAGCAATGTTTGTTAATCGAGACCTTCCTCTGGAACTGAGGATAAGAGCCTTAAGATGCTACATGTTCTCGACCTTGTTGTAGGAATGGAACGCTGGACACTAAAAGTGGATAATATAAAGAAGTTGGAATAATTTGAGATGTGGTGCTATAGAAGAATTTTGAAAATATCATGGACCCAACGAGTTACAAATGCAGAAGTGTTAAGAAGGCTACAAAAGGACTGCGAGGTCATAAAGCAATCAAAACAAGAAAGCAGGAATATTTAGGCACATTACCGGAGGTGTGAAATATAAGATATTAAACCTCATAATGCAAGGTAAAATCAAGGGTATAAGATCCATAGGAAGACGAAGAATTTCCTGGCTAAGGAACCTAAGAGAGAGGTATAGTTGCAGCTTAGTACATCTTTTCAGAGCGCCGCCAATGAAATACGGATAGCTGTGATAATAGCCAACCTCTGATAGGAGAAGGAACTACAAAAAGAAGAAGAAAGAAATTCTAACTAGAACGTTACAAAATCACAATCCAACAAAATCTTTTACTGTCATATTTGTGGTGAGCTGTTGATGTTTTCACACTTTTTATATTGCCCATAAATCTTTTTTTAGAATCATAATACATGTGTCATAAGACATTATTTGTTAAGTCACAAAAGTTGTGACAATGATACGCTACTCGTATATACTTCATTATATAGTTTTTACTAGGTATATAATTTTTATCTGTACATTGAATAGGCTAAACACTTTATGTCTGAAAATTAATGTTACTGTATAGAATTTGTCGAAATAATGGTATTCAAACACTATTTCCTAAGTAGCAATTAATTCTCTCAGGTTAACTATGAGGCCAAAATTCTAAACCAAGACATTTAATTTTCACAGCCTACTCAATTATTAATTTCAAATCCGGAAATCGTCTTTTAAAATTTTAAAATAAAAATTGTTAAGATTCATAAACTGTAAATGTTTATAAACTGGCGCTGGGTGGTAAACCATTTTGACAGTTGACTTACTTGGCCTCGATTTCGTAGGAACTAGCCATATTTTAAGCGAAATTCTGAGAGCTGTTGTTGTACCAGATTGATATAAAATTCTTATCTTTCTGGACTTACGTAGTTATTAATAACCATGGTCTGTTATATTCTATTGATATGTTTGCTACATATTTTTGTTCATTTAGTAAGATGATATTAGGGAAATATATTATTAAACATGAGAATTGAATTGTATAATAATACAGTATATATTTATGGATACGCGACCTTGTATAAACAACGCAATTCGCATATTTAAAGTGAAAATGTAGATTGACAGAAATAAATTATTTAGTATCGCTGAGGCAGTTTTGTGATGTAGTAGGTAATCCAACCTGGATCAACTTTATAAGTGTTAATCTATGCAATAAATTAAAAAGTACAATCCGTCTTTCTTTTGGAAAGTAAGCATGGAAAATCAGTTGGGCTAATGCAGCGGGAACCCGACTCCACATGGCCAATAAAACACCACAATGTTCATTATCCCAGGCATTTTTGTTTTCCAGTCTCTTTTGTGTATGATTCATACTCATTTGTTTTAACAATTAGTACTCTTGAAGTTGGAGATAACGAAGAGCCCATGGCTCATCCAAAATTTGTTTAAGAAAATCGTTGTATAATTGAATATAGATGTTGTTAGTTCATAATGTTAATAGATCTATTATAGTTCATTTATTCAATTTTATTTTAGTCGTCAATGTGTTATCCATCTTTAAGCCGGTCAGTAGCGCACCTAGAATATTCCTGACGGAATAGTGATCTGGGGGGGGGGGGGTTTAACCCCCAAAACCCCCCTGGGTGCGCCACTGAAGCTGGTAATTTTAAAACTGACTACGCTGTTGTTGGGGTTGTAATGTATTTCTGCTAAATAAACGCCAAAGCAAATGTCAAATGTGATTCTTATTACAATAAATTGTGGTTTAATCTCATATCAATTATTATATTACTTAAACATGCCAAAAGAAAACAGCTTTAGGATTAAGTATAATTCGCATTTAATACATTTTACGTAAGATACAACAAATGAAGACTTACTGTCACAGTATCCAGTTCTGAAATAAGCTGCTTCGATTTTGGTCCTGGTATTTCCGAGGTAACTATGGTTGGCTCTTTAGGCTCCCCAGGTAAAATTGTAGAAGCCGCCCGAACACCGCCTACAAAAATTTCTTTTAATACCTGTTTTTATAATACAAAAAAAAATGTTCAAAGAGTGCATGACCTCGTTTAGGTATTTTTAATACAGCTAAAGCATCTATGAAACAATTTAGTTTTCGACAAACAAATCTGGTCGTTTAATAATAATTCATAAAAAAACCATTTGTCAATGACAAATACTGTTAGCGTTAATAAAAGTAGTATTCGATAACATTTTGACGCATTATTTCTATTGGTATTTAATCATTCAATATATTCAATCAGTTTAGAAAAATATTCCGTAGTTAAATAAATTGTTGCATAGAAAAATAATAACAATAGTTTTTGCCGATGGTCAGATAATTCAAAATTCTAAGTGAGCCAAAAAGAACCACCTACAAACTATATCCGGTGTGTAAGCTTTAGAATAATACAAATATCGACAAAAAGAACAAAACTTATTGCAAATCGCGAAACTAGAAATCCGAAGATTTCTGTTGACGAAACCAAAATCCAGATTTTTGCTTTAATCTGTGTCTTCTATGAATTTCAAGGCAAAACAGACGTTGTTAAAGATGTAAAGAGAGAAATGAGCAATCTAAAATTGCATTCCACAACATATCTCCTCAATAACTAAGCAAAAATCCTTAGCGAATTGGTTTCTTGTACACATAAAAAGTATATCGAAATAAAAGGACAGACAGTTAAGATTTGCCTTAAAGTATAGTGCCTCTGTTTATTCGCCTATACGTATTTCATCCTAAAAGAATCATCGGAGCGCATATTTACAGAAGCTCTGAACATGAAAACAATCTTTCATATCGAAAAGGAAGCAACAATAAAATGGCTTCAGTATCGACACTATAGCGACATCTGATAATAAATTCCGAAACTAGAAATCCTAAGATTTCTATTGACGAAACTTTATTGAATAAGACTTTATAAGACAATGTCTACACATACTCTTTTATATGGATGTAAAAGCGATGACGGGCAGTAAATGATCTAATACTTTTTGTTTTTTAAAATTCGATATACAACTGATTGAAAAATGGCCTATAAAACACGCTAAAATTGTTTTTTTTTTCGGATTTTTTAATTGTTTATTTACATTTTACGCTTGAAGCTAGCATTTTACAAAAAAATCAAAAGAATAACTTTCATCTTAAAATATTACAAGTTTAAAAAAGAGGTTTTGAAGGGAGAAAATTAATCTTTTTTAAATTTACTTTAACCTTAAGTTACTGTTGAAAAAAGAACTTTAACCAACATCCAAATTTCTTTAAAAATTAGTTCAAATAAATAGCATATTGGCATCATAATCTATAGATTAAAACAAGTTTCAGCTTGTTGGTGTAAGTAAAATCGACCTTAATATTGTTCTGAAGCTATTTTCTTGTGGCATTTTAAATTAATTACTATTTAATTGGGAATAAGCCACAATTAAAGATAAAAATACGTTTATTGACGTTTCAATTTCCACTTCGGAAATCGTTCTCAAAATACAAACAGTAAATTAAACAAATTTTGTTTAATTTACTGTTTGTATTTTGAGAATGATTTCCGAAGTGGAAATTGAAAGTCAATAAACGTATTTTTATCTTTAATTGTGGCTTATTCCCAGTTAAATAGTAATTAATTTAAAATCGACCTTTTTCGACAAAAACCCCTAGTAAGGGTAGAAATATAAGTTTTTCTCCTGCAACTAAAGGTTAGTGTAGTTGGTTACGTTTTATTTTCCTCGAATCATAATATTTCTCAAAGGCCAATTTTTTTTATCTCAGTGCTGATTTGTCTTGCTGTTTCAAAAGCATTACTTTCTGACAACACTTTGTACATTTTGTCGTATCGCTGCCATCTATCGCTTATCAGACTGTATGTCTTATCATAGTTAAATCCTTTATATAAGTGATTTTAACAATGTTTATGATTTTGTTTTACTTAATTCTATATATTTTATTATTTTACACCGTATATTTCGACAAGTACCGAATGACATTTGACGGGTGGGTTTGATCCTGACTAAATTTGGTTCTAAACTGTACTAAGCTACATTCGGTCGGTAATGCAGATCCAATGCTTACCAACATTGGCGTCTCAGTCTGGCGCAATGGCCGCATACACTGCAAGATAAGTATATGTTTTGTATGTCCATCATGCTGACATTGAAGACAGTTTATAATTTTTAAAGTAGACAAAAATTACCCACCGATGTTCTTTATACTTAATTTTTCAGTACTAATGATATTGTATGATATTCTTGTTTTATACCAATGGATACCTATTGACCCAGGTTTATGTATGAAAGGACAATGCAAGTCGATAAAAAGATCTTCTTTTTATGGTGCCTATCTGTTACGGATGTCGGACACTAACATGGCTATTCTGACTTTGTTGACTGCTGCCCTGAAAAGTCCGGTAGTGGTTAAGTCTGGATAAAAAGATTCGTTTATTGTGTACTTTCCATAGTCATTTTTTTCATCAGTCCTCTTATATCGTTACACAAAACCAGGTTGTTTTCTTGGGAGAGAAAGACAGTAGATCTCTATCTTTCTTACGATAAAATGTATTATTCGTAACTGGATATAGTAGATTCCTTTCTTTTAATTTGGCGCACCAAATTTTGTAGCCTCCTTGGATGGGCTCAGGTGTCTAACAAGTTCATTCAGTTCTTCTCGGATATGCTTGAAAATCATTGTCGTTATTCGATTGCAAATACTCAACGTTATCATCATCATCATCACTGGCTCGACAACCCTTTTTGGGTCTTGGCCTGTTCCAGGATTCTTCTCCATTCTGATCTGTTTCGTGCTTGTTTTATCATACGTTGATGTTAACTAGTAGATTACTGAATATTGAAATGGGTATTTTTCAAAATACACTACTGTCATCATTTCTGAATCTAGGTCAGAATACGTATATTATTATATTATTCCAATTAAAGCTTTAAATATTTGCAAAAATAAAGATGACTATCCTCGTGATGGATAGCGATCATCTCCAAATTATTATTTTTTATACCAAATATGGACTCCAATGTTTCCTGATCTCCCAAATAAACGCCAAAATAGACCAAATAAGCTGCTTTCACAGGTTTTTTGATTTCTTTCAAAATATATTCATCACATTAAGCACATATTTAAAAAAACTCTGATTGATTGTCGAGCCACCAGTCTGCTTGTACCTAGATGTCCTGATCGTAAATATTTTATTACTAAACACCGTCGACAAAGGACATAAACTGATACACAAATTCACCTATAAAGACTAAATTGAAACTTATAAGGTTTTGGGTTGTGGATCCTTCTTGATGTACATGTGCAAGTATTGCTATTGCTAAGTAAACAAAGAGAATATTAATTTTCCCACAAAAAAGTTCTTGTGTACTACAGAACGGAAAATTCTTGAAATGGATATTATTCAGAAAGTACGGATCTGCGAGAAATCTTATTAAAATAGTTAATTTGGTTCTGTTATTGTTAAAAATTTATAACCAGCTAGTGATAATTACATGTTATGCAATATACAAGGATAACAATTATAGTAAAACCAATGACGCATTTCGATTATAAATGCAATGTTTATAAAACTAGAATAAAAATGAAAGCCTTATAAATTATTCATACACATACTGTAGAATGTTTTGATTGTCTGAAAGTATTTATCTACAGCCTATGTGTAAATATAGATTTTGCTAGTAATCAAAAATCGCATGATCATAATTTTAAACGAATATAATACGTATCATGTTTTATGAAAACTTTAAAAGAAAATATATTAGAATGTAGGAAATGTTAATAACATTATTGAGATTCAAATGTTCTTTGGTCTTCTAAAAGATCTGGTAAAACATCTCAAGACTTCAATAATAGTTGTTTTCTTTATTTCATTATTTTATAAAATTTTATTTAGGAGTTATTTTTTTGATAGTTGTAACTTTTTAATGAGTGATAGGTTGTCTAATGAATAATAAAAGAGATATAATGCATTGTGAATGCACCCAAAGTTCATTTTAATCTGCTAAAAACTATTTTCTCAATGTTTTCGGACACGAAAGGGTAGTTCTTGAAGATTTTAAGGGTAGAAAATTAATTTAATTATTTCATAAACTATATTAAAACATTTGAAATGAACTTTATTCAAAATATTTGAATATTAATTAAATCTTTAAAATTCCTAAATTTGGACTCTTTTAGTTTTTTTATACAAGGGTAGTTTTTATCCCCAAATAGTACAAATCAAGACAAATAAATTTTTTATTTACAGGATTAGATGAGATGTTTTAAATACTAATTTTTAGGAAAATCCATGCAATTCGAAAAAATTGGGAGATTTTACTTCATTTTTACTTTTGGTGACTACTCTTTCAACTAGTTACTATTAAACTGGGAATAAGCCACAATTAAAGATAAAAATACGTTTATTGACGTTTCAATTTCCACTTCGGAAATCGTTCTCAAAATACAAACAGTAAATTAAACAAATTTTGTTTTTTGTTACATAGTGAAAAATTCTTCTAATAATTTAATTTTATCTGACTCATTTATATTGACAATTCAGACATACATTATGCATTTTAAAGTAGACGCATTTTAAAGTAGACGACTTTACTGTTTCTAAATTTATGCCGATCAACGATATTTCTCTAATGTTCGGTGTATTTGTCATTATTTTTGTTTTTTCAGTTCATTGTAAGTCTTAAGTTCATCTTAAGACCTCCTTTTTCCGAAGCTTGAAATAGTTGCATCATCATGGTCTGTAGTTCTTCGAAATTTGTAGCGAATATTACAATGTCATCAGCGTATCTCAAATGACTCATGTTTTCTTCCACTAACATTTACTCTGCCTATCTATCTTCTCTATCTGCCCAGTACATGTCTTTGAACACGTCTTCCAGTCCAAGTGTGAATAGTTTTAGTAAGATAACATCTCCCTGGAGAACTCCTCTGTTGATTGGTATAGCTTTGGTTTTCGCATCCATTTGTATTTTTATTGTAGCTTTCTTGTAAATATTATGTATGAGCATTCTGTATCGGGAGTCTATCCTGCAGTTGTTCATAGCTCTCTCTATTGCCCAAAGTTCTATTGAGTCGAATACCTTTTCATAATCGACGAAACCAATGTATAAGTTCAAGTGATATTCATTGGCTTTCTATATTAGCGTTCTGACTGTAAGAAGATAATCTGCTGTAACCCTTTCGGAATCCTGCCTGTTCTACCGGTTGATAACTATCGAGCTTCAACATTAACCTGTTAGTTATTACTCTCATAATCAGTTTATACATTTGGGACAGCAGGGAGATTGGCCTATAGTTCTTCAGATCTCCCCTGTCTCCTTTTTTAAACAGAAGCTTTGTCAACTTTTCATTCCAATCATCTGGGACTTCTTCTCTGTGAAGACATTCGTTGAAAAACTGTTTCAATTCTTCGAGAATAATTTCACTCCCCTCCTTCAACATTTCTACAAGTATTTTATCTGGGCCCGGAGCCTTATTGTTCTTTAGTTGTGCCATAGCTTGTTTTATTTCGAAGGATTCTATACTAGGGAGTATTTCTGAGTTCACATTCGTTATCTGTCTTTCTTTTAAGATTATCGTTATCTTTCAAGATTTTCCTTTGCAGTGTTATCTGGGTTCTTGTTTGAGGAATATAAATCACGGTCAAATGTTTGAGTAACTTTTATGATTTCGTTCGTTTCTCTTATTTCTTTTCCATCTTTAGCCTTCAATGAGATTATTTTAGGTTTTCTTAAGTTTGATCGTAAGCATTTCAGTCCAAGTTCTTTTCCATTATTTTTTCTACCTTGTTTTCATTGTAGATCCCTAAATGTTCCTTTACTCACTTCTTTATTTGTTTACTCAAGTCTTTGAAACGATCTGTGTTTCGCTTTCCTTCGCTTAGAAATGTGCGACTCTTTTCCATCAACCGTTTTGTTCCATCACTTATTCTGTCTTCTTTATTTTTCGTTTTCTTTGCACATTCAGTCCTGCTTTCAAGAGCTTTCGTTGCATTTCTTTATTAATTGTGTTCATGTCGGAATATTCTTGTTGATAATGTTCTACAAATTCTTTTCTTAAGACTTAAAAAAAGAAAAGAACTAAATATATATACAATATATATTTAAAATATTGCTAATTAATAATATACGTCAAAAAACAAATCAAGTTTTTAAATGTATCACCTTTCTCACCTTGAACTTTAAATTTGAATATAAAATTTTGAAAATTCTAAAATTATACCAGGGACGCGTGAGTTCAGTGTTAACAATTGATTTAAATATTAGATAAGATTAAACAATCAAATATTGTAAAATTTTTTTGAGTATGTCGTTTAAATACGGATATAGATATAATTTTTTATGATTACTAGTTTTTGTGAATAGGTATTTCTAGATATGTCTGTTTCTATTGATGTTCTGTGCTTTATTTCGTCATTACTTCTCCTATTCATTCTTGTTGGGAGCTGTTCTAAATTTATGGCTTTCTGAAATATCCATTTTATCATCCGGTGTAATTTTTTTGAGCCACACTTTATAAGCTCAGTTGAGATGCCTCCAGATCCCGGTGCTTTCTTATTTTTAATTGCTTTTATGGCCGTTCTCATTTCCCTAACTGTTATTTATATTTCTTGTTGTGGGGATCTGCTTCGATTTCGCCTATTTTCTTTTCCAATTAATTGTGGTCTTTGTTCTGTTAACAGTTCCTTGTAATAGTCCTTCCATTCTTTGTTCATAATTCATTCTTTCACGGTAAAATACTGTCAAATTTTAGAGTTTTAAAAAAGCGCACAATTAATGAAATTTTGCAAATAAGCTTAACTTACTTTCCTCTTCAAAAGTTATATGATTAAAATGTGTGTTTTTAAGGGATGAAAACTACCCCTTTTTACAAAAAATTAAAAACTGAATATTATGCGTTATTTAAATCTTAATTATGTTCAAGTATTTTAAATAAAGGGTTTTTTTATCTTATGGAAATGCATTTTATAATATATAATTATTATTTTACAACCCTTAAAAATTACCTTTTAAGACAAAATTTGCAAAGAAAATTATCTAATAATGCACTTTGTAGTGAATTGATAATAATTGAATTGATTGATTGATTAATTGAATTGAATATTATAGTTTTATTTCGCAGCTATTTAATATTTTCATTAGTTTTAAATATGGATATATCTAATAAAATTCTGATTATTGAGTTTGCATTTTATTTATTATTTTACCATATAATAAAAATATAACCAATCATTATCAATATAAGGTAATGAATAATTACTCACTTGTTTTAGCTGCATTTTGAACTACTGTGGTCAAAGACTTCGCCCACATATTCGAATATCAATGCACTTAAAAACTACAGCAGTAAAGCAGAACACACGATGCTTTATTTTATTCAATTGAAAATTACGCGTCTAAAAACATTCACCTCCGTGGAGAAATAATCAACTGTGTTATTCGTATGCGGGTATTTTAGTAATATAGCTCGGGCAAGTTGTTATTTTTTGTCAGCGCCTGCACTGAAGCTTTTTATCAAGATACAAAGATTATAAATCAAGATCTGCTATGAATATTATATACCGTAAAACCTTTTAGTGATCATAAAAGAACTCGTTTAGAAAAGCTAATTATTTATTTATTAACTTATTTTATTTGCAATATTTATTTCTTTATATTATTCCCTGGTGAGCATGTAAATATTGTAAAGGCCGTATGACACTATGCATTTTCTTGTAAGTATCATTTCTTATATCGTTTCTGATATAGAAAGGTATTTATGTTTTCTTGTATCGTTTCTTGCACGTACATCTTTGCCCTGTATGACACTATGCAAGTTCTTTTACCGGAAATTGTATGTGATTTGGCACATGATTGGTCGAAATTTTGACACCTATAAAAATAGAACAGCAGTACCAGAGGACCCCAAGCTACTGGGGACGCTGGGAACTGAGGACATATGCTACTGATTATTTTTTAAAATAATGTGGTGCAAAAATGAATTAAATAAAATGTCCCAATATTAAAACTAAATTGGAAACCACAATTTTTGAAGATATTCAACAGGCTGTAATGGAAGACAGAAATAATAAATAATTTGGTTGTAATAATTTATTTGTTTTTTTTTTAAATTATGTGTTTGAATGGCATGCTCTTGAAATTCTATTCTTTTATTTGGAGATATAAAATAATCTTTAAACTCATCACGAATTTTTAGAGGGGTTATGTATTGTTTTTAGTAAAACATCTCCTACTTTCAGTAGTTCCGATGCTATTTGATCCAATCCCTGTGATTTATTGTTTTTTAATTTGGCTACTGATATTCTAATTTTGGTTATTATTTTTCAATTTTTATTTTGGTTATTTTTTAGATCAACAAACGCCAGATGGACCGGTCTACCTTTTTCCATTTTCTTCTCTATCAGTTGTTCTAATGTGTACGTATGATCTAGGCATGATTTTCCTACTGTGAACCCTGCTTGGTCTTCTCCAATTTTTCCTATTATTTCAGTTTCTAGTTTTTCCTTGATAATTTTCCCGTAATGTCTAACTACCGACGATATTATACTAATTCCTCTGTAGTTTTCACATTTTTTTCCTGTTTCCTTTCTTATGTATGGATGTGATGTCTGCTTGTGTCCATTCCGCAGGTATTTCCTCTCCATTTAGTTCTCTTTCGAACATTCTGTGTAGCATGCGGAATAACCTCTAAGTCTTCCTGTTTTTTGGTGTTTAGGTATTTTATGTGTAGTTTTTTCTTTTCTTTTATACATTTCAATGTGTCTTCCCTTAATTTGATATTCTGATGGGTGTTCCTTTGGTCGTCTTCTCCAAGAGCTTCTAAGGCCGCTGAAATCAGGCAGGTTTTTATGTGTTCATGCATTTCATCTAACGTGTCATATCTGAATTCTTCTAGTTTTTGGTCTAGTCTTCTTTTGTATAGATCTTTTATTGATTCTTCCTGTAAAAGATGTAATTTGAGCCTCTTTTCGTTTATTGTCGTTCCCGTTGTAACAATCGATGTATGTTTTGGTTTTGTCCAGATATAGGGGAATTCCATCCATGCCACCACAAGTTTGTGATCTGTTTCACACTCTGCCCCTCTTTTCACTCTGGTGTTTTTCACTTTGATGGAGCTTTTGTGGTTCATGATAATGTAGTCAATAATGGATCTTAGTTTTCTTGTCTCTTGAGTCCATGTGTACTTATGTATATTTTTGTGTTTGTAGAATCCGTTCATAATTTTCAAATCATTTACTTCACATAGTTCTATCAATCTTTTTCCGTTGTCGTTAATTGTGTCTTCTCCAAATGGACCAACTGTTCTGTCATTGTCTTTTCTTCCGACTTTTCCATTCAGATTCCCCACTATTATTATTTCTTGTTTAGGTTTTCTCTTATCCATTTGTTCCTGAAGTTGTTCGATAAATCGTTCTTTCTCATTGGCTAAACTGTCTTCCTTTGGACCGTATGTTGCTAGTATTATAATTTCTCTGCCATACATCTTGATTTTCAGTTTGGCAATTCTCTTGTTTATGGGTTCCCAATCGTCCATAGATTTTTCCCATTTCTTCTTTAGTAGAATTCCAACTCCAGCTTTTGCGCGGTCTTTCTTTTCTACTCCGCTCCAACAATGGATTAGTTCCCCTATTCTTTCAGTGCCGTTTCCTTTCTTTTTTGTTTGCGTTGTGACGAGGATATCGAGATTTATCTTTTCGATTTCTGATGGTACTTCACTGGCTTTTGTTCTCCAGCCCTGCACATTCCATGTGCCGATTCTTAGCTTTCTCTGTTTTTGTCTACGGTTGAGTTTCGAAGCCGGGTTTGTTAAACTCAAAGCAGAAGTGCCCCCCTCCCCTGTATTCGATGTGGATTACCACCCGGGGATTAATTTTAAAATTTTTCATTTCTGCCAGTTGTTCGTTAGCCCTTGGATTTTTTAAGTGTGCTAGGTTGCTAACGCCTAACGCCATAACCCCCTTTTGGAGGACCTATTGTTCAGCCGCCCACTCTGGGTCAGACGCTACTATTGTCAGTTGGTCCGCGTCGGGTATTTCATTTCCCCGATACCACCCATATCTGGGAGGCGTTCCCCTATCCGCCACCTGGGGACGCGTCCGGTAGAGCACTGATATCTTCCTCGGAATATAAATTGTAATAAATAAATTAGTGTGATATTGTATTAATAGAGACTTTAATAAATTTGTAAGTGTTTTGAGACTGGTGTTTCTGGTCTCTAACGGAAAGGAATGAAAGCATGTTAGCACTGGGATTACCAGTGACGAGGTCACCCTATGCACCTTCACGGGACCATCACCGTCATAATATTCGTGTTCAACGACCTCAAAAATAGCGATTTATGATTTTTAACTTATTTCGGATGAAAATAACATAAAACTCCAGGGTACCAGGTCCACCCTGCACCACGCAGCTCGAGAATCATCGTCGCATAATATTGGTATTCTGCGCTCAAAGATCACCGAGTAATGATTTGAGACTATTCAAATAAAAATAAGATAAAACTCCAGGAGACGAGCTCCACACTAGGCATTTGGTAACTCGAGGACCATCTTCGTTATCATATTCGTATTAAGCGACCTCGAAATCTCCTCAAGTAACAAAATTGAACTCATTCCTGACGATATTGTATGAGTTGCACATTTTTCTTTTTCATTTCAATGTACTTAGGAAATGTATTTTCCTCATACACAAAATGCAATTTTCATTTTACCACCACCAATTTTGTTCACAAACTTTCCTGACACTTATCCGAATCGAATTCAAAAAGTTGCATAGCAATTTATCTTGCTATTGCTGGAAAATTAGTAGGTTTTTAGGAAAATAGTTCTTTATAATGTGCTTAATTTCCTCGCCTATAGTCTCTTTCATTGATTGGAATATTTCAAATAAATTATTTAATTTAAATGACTGAATATTATGATTTGTAGATATCATTTAAATTTGGTTCCTATTCTTCTTGCTGCTTTTTCAGCTCTGAATATGTTACTTCCTAACTGTTTTTCTCATTTGTATATCTAAATGATTTTGATCTTATTAAACCTCGTGTTAATCATTATTGATATGGACACCGTATCTTAAAACTGAGTAAACAATATATATTCAAATTACAGGAAAATTACATAGTAACAGATTCCATCTGTTCATAATTATGTGATCTTATCAGGATATCCTTGAAAATTTTGCGACCCTGCGTAAAATGTTGTTTTAACATGGTTTATGTCAAGTCGGTAATAAACTGTTGAATGATACTAAAACATACAAGATGTTTATTTGTGATATCTTTGTTTTTAATATTTTTAGCGAATAATTTTAGCTCACACGTGTTTTAACAATAAGTTATCACGCCATATTTCTCATCTTGTAGTTGCAATCTAATAAAAATCACTTTGAGGAATCAAAAACAAGCTAATATTGGAGACGTCAAGACGTCAACTTCTGGAATATATACGTATACGTATGATCATGCGGTGATTTTTTTGTTTTGTCAAAATCCTTTTTATGCCATCAATATTCCACGGATTTGGTACAATTCGAAGTATTATTATTTCCTCTGAGACCTAGTAGTGGTAGAGCAATTCTGCATGCCTAATCGTTGTCTATAATTTGGCATAAGATGAAAACTATCAAGTGGAATTCATGGCGAAACTCAGTTTACATTGGGGGGTTCATCCGGTACTGACTTACTGACGTTCATTTTCTAGCTTCTCGCAAGACACTAATGGATCAATAACGAACAAACAAAGCCAGCTCAGTTAATCAAGATTATCGAATTAGACTATAAAGGGACAGCGGCGCACCCAGGGGGGATTTGGGGTTAACCCCCCACAGGACCCTATATTTAAGGACAAAATGGTGGAGGTAGCATAACCCCCCCCCCAGAGAACAATTCTAGGTGCGCTACTGTAAAAGGGGAACCACTGAGTAGTAGTTAGCGAGGAAAATATTTGACATTTTCATTCTGTTTAAGCCACTGTTTCTTTTATATTCTGGCCATGGCCCATCAGTTTTTCTTGTCTATGAGACAGATTCTTCTAATCTGTACATCTCTGTACTTTTTCTAATGATCTTATTGATTCGTTTGTATTATATTGGATTTGTTTTATGTTTTCACCTTATGTCCATGAGATCTATGATCTCTTGTATAACTGGATTGTGATCGCTATGAATGTCAGCTCCAGCGTATGTTTTCATAGATTTCATGTACTTCTTAATGTTGATATCAATCAAAATGAAAATTTGATTTATCACAATTCTGTCAGGTGATTTTCAGGTGTATAGCCTTCTAAGATTTGTTTAAAGATGTTGGCTATTAAGAGGTTGTTCCCTACTAGTATGTTGTCTCCTTTAGCACCACGACCAATTTTGGTGTTAAAGTCACCCACTTTAACACCATAAAACTTTTCAATTTCTTCTTCTGACTTGATACTTGTTGGCATATACCTAAATAATATTTAGGTTTCTATGGGTTGTTCGTAATTTAAAAATTGCTATTCTATCATTTATTAGAGGGATGAAGTCCGATACTAATATAGCCGTTCCGTATTGGTGTTGTATGCCGGTTCCTCCTGAATAATAAATGTATCCATCTTTTATTTTTTTGTTCTCCTGAAGCAGGCCATCTTACCTATTCATTCCCAAGATGTCTATTTTCATTATTATCATCTCTGCTTGAGTGACTCGGTACTATCCTGTCATAAATTTAGATTCTCTGTTCAATTCCTTGCATCTCAGTAGTAGAGAACGGAGAGATTTATACGAGATTGTCACAGACTGAGGGCCATTTTCTTCATTTCGTCTCCCATTCCTTGATGACCTGGAACTCATACCAGGATAACCAATATATCGAGTGCTTCTAGGCACTCTCACACTATTGTTGACATTATTTTTGTTATACATCTTATGTCATCGATTTGTTACTTTTGCGAATGTTCGCCATGTACTTGTACTTTGCAGATGACTCATGTATTTCTGCACTGTTAGGTTAGTTTTAGGTATCTAGACACTTCATTTTTATGTCTTGCTTCTTCTGTCAAAAGTTCGCATTTAAGCACAGTTTTTATTACTTAGGATATAAAATCATTTGAAACAAAATACTAATAAAAATAATATATTTGAACATTTTTACTTAAATTCAACATTAAACATTTATCTTTTACTAACTATGCTAAAAATATCTTGAAATTCTTTTTAATACCTTAAAATATATGACACTTTTTGGAAGACAACAGTATTGTAGAAGTTTCCTTATATAGAGCTAGATATAAGTCATACAAACCGTTAATAGTATCGATGAATGTTTGTTATGCTGGTTTCCGAAATGTTGATTGATTTTCATTTTTTATTACTCAGACACAGGTCAGATCACACAAGAAATTATTAACAATATTACTTATGTATTTTTATCGTAAGTACATACTTGCATACTTACGATAATGTTGTAGCTCTAAGTGAGAGCGCCCACCAAACTGGCATAGCAAGTGGCAAGTAGCAAGTAGCACGCGTCTAGCACGTTACTTAAAATATAACCAATACATGCCAATACAAACGAATGATTAGAATGAATGACGTCACTGTCATTTTGGTGTGCGCTGAATCATTCGTTTTCATTGGTTACATTTTAAGTAACATGCTAGACACGCACTACTTGCTGCTTGCCACTTGCCATGCCAGGTAAAGGAGAGCGCCCACCATTAGTTTTGAAAAACAAAATGTTCATGTGCAAAAGTGGCATAACTCAAAATAAGGGTTGGATTTAAAAGTCTATGTAACAATTCATTAAAGGCTACCTAAAGCTCATCCAAATACACCTCAATTTACTTTAGTCAAGCAAATAAGACGAAATTATTGACACACAAACTTTAAACCCCTGTTTTGAAAAATTACCAGTTTTTGTATTGTGTCACTATTGCTTACAGCTGACGAAATGGACATAATACGAAAAGAAAAAAGAGTCAGACCAGGAAAATTCTGGAAAGAGGGTATAGAAAAGGAAAAGAAAGAAAGAATCCTAGTGAAATTCGATGAATTCAAGAGCATCGATAACATTACTACTAAAAAATTGTTCGGTTTTAAGAACGTACTTTTCTATCTAGCTATATATTACATATTTATATTATAAATATACGACAGAAGCTACTTAACTTTTGTGCAATACATTTTTTGAGTATTTTTTTGCAAAATCATCTAATTGTGTAATTTTTTAAAATCTGCTGCTATGCTTTTAAGAACCAACTTTTTGTGAGGAACATGATTAAGCAAATAGCGATCACTATTTGTAACATTTTAACACAGAACAGCTAATAAAAGGATTGGTCATTACGCAGGCCTGATTTGGTACCAATTGACTTCGCACAATACTTAACGTTAGTCGAAAGCATTTTTGATGAAAAGTATTACATGGAACACATGTAAATATATTTTCATCTTCATGGACAGCTATTTTTTCTTTAGTTAGCTATGACTTTCAAAACTTAAGTAACAACTTCTCGAATATTACTATTTGCACAGCTCAATGGGTTTCCTAAAAGATATACAGCCAAACAAGATTGTGACAGATATTTGTGCTCATTTTAGTTTCTCTTCTTTCCTTTACTAAGATCTTTTACTACGTTTCTTAGTATATCCAAGTAGATATCAGCGTGGTGTTCTTTAAATATGAGAGCTGGTCTATGACGAATAGATTCAGTTCCGCATCCACCACTTTGAACACCTAAAAGAGAAGTAAATTTTATCAAATAAAGTCAAAGAATAATATTTGTAATGATTTGAAGCAAAACAAACATAAGTAAATATTAACACAATTAATTAAACATATTTACAAATTAACTCACCATTTTTCTTTAAATTTTTGATAATATTATCCCTTAATTCGCTACCCTTCGCGTTGATTGCAATAAACGTACCCCTACCCCTCAGAGAATGCAGCATGTCTGGAAATTCCTTTTGTAATTGTTCCAATCCTTCAAACAATCGTTTTCCTGTTCTATTTACTTGATCCAGTAAATTTTGGGTTTTAATCACTTCGAGAATGGCTTCTAGAAGAATTGTTTTGCCTGGATCACCCATCCAAGTATTAAAAATCCTAGAAGGGTGCTTCACGCTAAAATATTTGAAAATTAATGTATTTATTAAAAAGTTAAAAACCAAAGAGATTATCTACTAATTAATAAGAGATACAAAAATAGCACGATGTCAATTAAAACATACCCTGGAGCAGATATATCTTATAATTATAATCCACTGGTTACAAGAATGGCAATAAAACTATAAAAAATTAACAACACAACCCAATACAAAACAGTTGATCTCAATAAAACCAGTATACCAAAAATAACCAAATATAACCAAAAATAAAACCAGTACAGCGAATCAAACCTTTTCTTTTCCTAACCCCGAAAATCTAAATGATTACTTTGTTAATGTGAGTAAAAATATAACCTCAACTATTTAGCCACAACAAGATCCAGTTTCCTATCTCTCTAATTCAAAAAACATTGCTGATACCTTCTTTTTAAGACCAGTTGATAAGACGGAACTCATTTCAACAATTCGTAGTATAAAAAGCACATCGTCCTGTAGTACAGATGGATTATCTATTAAAATTTTCTCAAATCTACCGCATAATGTTTTGGAGGTCATGGTCTCGCTAGTAAATGATTCCCTTGAAAAAGGTACATTCCCTAACTGCCTAAAGACTGCCATCGTAATTCCACTTCATAAAGGTGGAGAAAAATCTGATGCCTGCAACTATAGACCTATTACCTTGTTACCAGCACTATCAAAAATTATTGAAAGACTTATAAAAGTTCGACTTATGCCCTTTCTCCTTAAATATAATATTTTATCGCAAAATCAGTTCGGCTTTTTGTCTAATAAATGCACTAGTGATGCCATATTTTCTGTGTTACATGATGTATATCTATCACTAAACAGTAACCTCTACTCCGCCACCGTTTTCTGCGACTATTCCAAAGCCTTTGACTGCGTAAATCACGACATTCTATTAAAAAAATGAACTTTCTTTGGAATTTGGGGTGTGTCTTTGAACTGGTTCAAAACTTACTTGGTAGGTAGGAAACAATTGATTAGAATAAATGACACCGACTCTAGTTGTAAAGATATTGGGTGTGGAGTACCGCAAGGTTCAGTATTAGGTCCCATTCTTTTTTTACTTTTCATTAATGACATCACTTACTTGAAAATTAAAGGGAAAATTTTTCTATTTGCTGATGTTACCAGTATTACTTGGAGCAGCTCTGATATTTCAACGCTTCATTCAATTATAACTCAAATGGTCCTTGCATACTGACTCCTTAAGGAAGAAACTAGCCTCAGCTTGCTTTGCAATAAGATCTGTTTCGAAGGAACTAAATTTATCTTCTGCCAAAATGGCATATTTCTTATTGTTCGAGTCCCATCTTCGATATGGGCTTCCATTTTGGGGTTCTAGTACAGAGGCCCAATTTGATACTATTTTTAAGTTGCAAAAAAGAGCAATCCGTTATCTATTTGGTCTCAAACCAACAACTCATTGCAAGACCTACTTCAAAAATCACGGAATTTTGACGCTTCCCTCTTTATTTATTTTGGAAACGGTTTGTTTGATTCGAAAGCATCTAAACATTTTTCCCGATAGACCTGACCATGGCTACTCCATTAGAAATTCGGATTGTAACGTTTATTTGCCGATCCCCGTCCCGTCCACTCAGCTAGTAAAGAATTCTATTCTATATCGTGCAAAGAAACTTTATAATCACCTTCCAAGAGAAATTAAATCCGCAACATCCTTCATTAAGTTTCGTAAGGTGACAAAAATCTATCTCTCAGAAAGACCATATTATTCAGTTGACGAGTTTCAATGTATAACAAAGAAACAAAATTAGTATTGTTTATAATTACATTTGGGTGTCTCAAGCAGTGGCTACATTTTGTCTCATTTGTTGTTGTCTGTACAAATTATGTAGGTTATACAATAATTTTACTAATTTAAAATTGTGTTATTCTGTTTTTTACTATATTTGTTTTTGTTTTATACTTTTTGTACTATTTGACTGATTTATTTTTTAGCTTTGTCCATAAAATTGTTCAATAATTTTCAGTGACAATAAATCATATTTCTATTCTATTCTATTCTATAATAAACTACGAAGCCCAGAAGTGAGAGAACAGATGATAAATAAAAAAGATAAAAGGCTTAAGGGACTACACATCAAATAACATCAATGGAATTGGACAGATTTTAAAACAGCGTTACAGGGCCCATGTAGAAAAACACAACAGCTTCCTTCCAAGCTTATGATTTTTGCGCTTACCGAGAATTCCTTCTCTATCGGTAACCATTGCAATCCCCAATCACTAGTACGAAGGGGCTTACTTAACTAACTTACTTTAACCTTCAATTGCGGCTTAATACCATTTAAATAGTAATTACTTTAAAATCCCACAAGAAAATAGCTTCAGAACAATATTAAGAAACCGTTATGGGCCCAGCGTTACTCAAAATTTTCGGGAGAACGATTTCCGAAGTCGAAATTGAAACGTCAATAAACTTACTTTAACCTTTAATTGTGGCTTATTCCAACTTAAATAGTAATTATGTTAATTTGATATTACAAATTATTTACAGTGAAAAAAGTTTCAAATTTTCTGTGCTCTATATGTATATACAGGGTGTCCCATAATTAATTGGACATTAGCTAATGGGTGATAGCTAACATCAAAATAAAGCGTTTGAGCTCAAATTGCTTAGGCAAAATGTTGCTAGTTTTCGTTCTACAGGGTGATTCATTAATATTTTTTTATATTATTTTTAGGGATATATTGAAAACTATTCAACCGATTTAAGTAAAATTTGGTATCTTGCTATTATTTAGTATGCTTAATAAGAAAATGATATTAGTTTTACCATTGACACTAGGTGGCGCCACCTACTGTAACATTGGTTCATTAATGGGGCCATAATTTTTTTGTCCGCCCTGTATAAACATTCTAGGAAAAAAAACATGACATAACATTCAATTCTACACAAAAAAGGTATTCCTGTTTCAAATCAAAAAAGTACACCGTTTTCGAAATAAACGTATTTTGTTTTTCGCAAAACAAGCAGGTACCTAGGTATGCTGTGAACTTATTGGCAAAGTCAAGGCGTAAGTACGAATTTGTTTACTATTTCTATTATTAAAAAAGAATATGTGTATACATCCAGTGTGTAAGATCCAGAAACCAGTACAAGGCTTGTTTCTGCGGCCACTGGTATAAGCAAATCTACGGTGTCAAGAATAATACGGACAGAAAATCTGTATCCGTATCGTTTTACTCCAGTACAGAATTTTTTACCACAGGATTTTCCAGCAAGGCTCCGATTTAGTCAGTTTATGATGGGGCGGCATTTAGACGATCCAATGTTTTATAATAAAATTTTATTTACAGATGAAGCCACATTTACTAGAAGGGGTGTATTTAACTGGCGCAATAGCCATACCTACGCGACAGAAAATCCTCATGCATTTCAAGAACATCATTTTCAACACGAGTTTTCCAAAATATCTGGTGTGGCATATTTGGGGATTGTATTTTCTTTTACTCTTTTAGAAGACATACCTCTAAATTTGAGACGGAACTCTCAAAGGTGGATTGGTAGAGGTAGTGTATACCCATGGCCAGCACGCAGTCCCTAACTAAATCCCCTAGACTTTTACTTGTGGGGCTACCTAAAGTCACTTGTTAATAAAAAAAATATTCATCAAGAGTTATGGCAAGATATTTTAGAGGGAGTTAACGTAATTAGGGCCCAAAGAATCTCATTATTTAAAATAAGACAAAACTTACACAAAAGGTTTAGATTATGTAGTTTATCTAATGGTGCACATTTTGAACACTTATTGTAATTTATTTTCGTTTCGTTTTGAATTATTCACTTTCTTAATTGTTTTATATTCACTTCATTGTTTAATTTAATTTCTGATTTTTTTAAAATTTGTTACTGAGTCAAAGGTTTAATAAAAATAATTGTTTCAATCATATGCATTTTGTTTGCAAAAATTATCTAATACTAATACATTTAATATTCACTTTTATTTAAGACCTTTTGAATAATGTTTGAATTTAGATAAGTTTTTGTAAAATATTTTTATTTTATGCACGTCTCTAAAAAATACGTTTATTTCGTAAACGGTGTACTTTTTTTATTAGAAACAGGAATACCTTTTTTGTGTAGCATTAAATGTTATTTCATGTTTTTTCCTAGAATGTTTATACAGGGCGGGAAAAAAAATTATGGCCCCATTAATGAACCAATGTTATAGTAGGTGGCGCCACCTAGTGTCATCGGTAAAACTAATATTATTTTCATATTAAGCATACTAAATAATAGCAAGATACCAAATTTTACTTAAATCGGTTGAATAGTTTTCAATATATCCCTTAAAATAATATAAAAAAATATTAATGAATCACCCTGTAGAACGAAAACTAGCAACATTTTGCCTAAGCAATTTGAGCTCAAACGCTTTATTTTGATGTCAGCTATCACCTATTAGCTAATGTCCAATTAATTATGGGACACCCTGTATTGATCACTCTATTAACTTACGTAATTTCGTCAGAATGGAAGAACCCGGCCATCTGCATTTTCTTACTGAAAGTAACAATATCTGGAGGGTTTGGCAAATTGAAATGTTCGTGACACCAGAACTTTCCAGTAGGTCCACATCCTGTTTGAACCTCATCGATGATGTATGCTACGCCATTCTTTTTGCAAATTTTTTGCAACTTCTGGAAAAACTCTGGCGAAGCGTGATTGTCACCGCCTGAAAAGAGCAAGAGCATATTGTAAGACATATGGAGTTTTAAATTGGTAAATAGAAAACCACTAGTTCACTTTAGCAGCAAAAACAGTCAGTATAGTTGCATATCTCTGTAGGAAGACATCATTTTAAGGAGAAGAAAGTATATATGCTATGTACCTTCTGGCGTAACTCCTAAATCGAACTTACATAATGCTGATAACGCTAATTTCTCACTGACTAGACGCTGACTTAATGCTAAAAACGCTAACTTGTAGCTAACTTGCCGCTTATTAGACGCTGACTTGATGCTTCAACGCCAACTTGTCGCTAATTTGTCGCTGACTAGACGCTGACTTAATACTGACAACGCAGAGTACACGCTGACTTGACGATGCCTTGTCACATAGGACCGAATATAGTGTTTAAATATTACTAAAACTATTCACAACTGTTGTAAAAAAACGTATGTGGCTAGACTGATATCTATCGTTCAGTAAGACTTACTAAAAGAACAAAATATCTTAAACTCAAAACAATCTCACCTTCTGATTGAATCGGTTCAATAATTAAACCAGCTACAGGGCAAGTCTTTTTTTGCACTTCGATAAGATCTTCTACTTCTTCTAAACATTTATTGTCTATTTCTTCGTTTTCTCTACGGTTTTCTTCCAGTGGATATTTATACATGGGAAATGTTGCAATTGGCCAATGGGCAAAAGAGGGAACATCTAGTTTATGTATAGCCTTAAAAATAATTGTCATAATTAACAACAATTTAGAATATTAATGAAATCAAATGAAATTTGTAAATGTGTACGCAATGACTTTAAAAGAATGACGGGTTGAGTCATGCAATCCAACATAGCAAAATTATTTAACAACGTATATTTTAAACTCACCATTGAATGTGTGCAAGATAACGTGGCTACAGTTCTCCCATGGAAGGCTCCTCTAAATGACAAAATAGATAGCTCTGGACATCCCGGTAACTGGTTCATTATGCTTGATTTTTTTTCAACTTCGGTAAAATCTTTATCTCCCCTTTCCCTCATTCTATATGCTATAAACGATGTTTTTATGGCATTCTCATTGGAACATGCGCCGCACATCATTGGTGTTATTTTTGGGAGTTTGGGAGATACCTGTAAACATAGATAAGTTCAAAATGGGAATATCACAGCACAGCAGCATTGCAGTGAGTAGTGAACAGTGTAGTGTTTGGGGGCTCAGAAGACTAACACCCTGGAAGCCCTGAAGAAGATATCAGAGAGAATGTCGAAAGCTTGGCACACTGTATAGTGGTTATGGAACCATTTCGACCTCCCAGTCTTATCAGATGCGGGGTATGAATACAAAATCAAAAACGGGAAAGAGCAACAAACGCGTGTATAAAAACTTGTGCAAACAAAACGGGACAATGAAAGTGTGATTGGGTTTTTATATTATTCGAATATTAAGAACTATTTGTATATCTAATTATTTTCTATTAATTAGTTACTTAACTTAGACTTAGACAGTAAGGATTTGTATAATATAAAAATGAACTCCGGTTTCCAGGTAATGTAAATTGTGTAGAAATGAAAGCTGTCTATTCAACTTGACAATGAAAAGTCTTTAGGGGTTTTTTGACCAAGAAATTTGATAGTTTTGTTTAGAAAAGAGAGCGCAGTGAGTTATAAGAAATTTTGACTAGAGAAAGAGGGAAGATGATAAGATTTGTTTGTTTTGAGTGATTTGATTGGTTCGAGAGAGAGATTTTGAGAAGGAAGTGGAAAGGGAAGTTGATTTGCTTTTTTGGAGAAAGAAAAAAGAGAGGAGTCTAAGATAGAACTATAAGAGAAAAGGTTGTTCCTGTGATACGAAAAAAGGTGTCTTTTCAGAGTTTTTGTAATAAAATAATAGTAATAGGGTACTTACCTGCTTAAAGAGATTTTCCATTCTTTGAGGCCAGTCTATGCCTGGATATACCCCCAACGCTGGTCTATTTATAAGACTTTTCTGCAATATAAAAATGGTATATAGTTTAATTAAATAATTTCAATATAAAACACATTAGAAATTAAGACTACTCATGTTTGAGAATGCATATACACATATAATAAGTATCATACATTAATGACCTAACGTAGATTGCTCTTTGAAGATCAGATAAACCAGACTTTATCAACAAACTTCTTCAACTAAGTGGTCTGGTTCAGAAATTCTGAAGTATAGGGTTGAATATTTGACCAAAAGTATTTCCGAAAGTAAATACGAGGTATAGGAACAGCTGTACATCATGTACCAGTTGTAGGTAATTTGAAAGTCAGAATGAAGAAGGTTACAAGTAAGTCGATGAAGCAGTATGATGTTAGAAATCTGAAAGATCGCAATGTTCGACTGAAGGTGAGTGAAAACCTCAATACGAATGTGCTAAAATGCGGAAATGCAGGAACTAGAGAGAAAAGTCTGACCATCATACAAGAAACTGTGAGAGAAATAAAAGAACAACACCTGAAGAAAGATACAGAGAAACGGAAATCGTGGATTACCGATGAAATACTTGAACTTATTCATCAGAGAAAAAAAAAATGTCTCCAAGAATACAAGGAAAATACATACCATGTCGGTCAGAAGAAGAGATAAGAGAAGTCAAACAGAAACACTGTCAAGAAATAAAGGAGTATCAGAGTAGATATGATAACTTCAATGTTCCATCGAAAAGGTCCAAGGAAATAGTTTGAATAGTTTCGAAAACGCATAAAATCAACGGAAACATATAGCAGATGATGAAGGCAATCTTGCCATAGCCAAAGGAAGATAGACAATAAAAGTATGGGAAGTATACTTGGAGAAGCTTTTCCACACCCTGGTAGAACAATACAAGAACCCACCCATTGAAGTAAAATTGAGGTCCGGAATCTTACCAGATTAAATAACGGCAGTCGTCAGAATAAGGAAGGCTGGAAAGGCTACCGGGATTTGAATGAACATTGTCTTCAGAACTGTCTGATCAGCTTTATGGACTGCTGGAACCTATCATAAAAACTAGTTTCATCACAACTCATCAACCAAAATATCTGAGATATTTTGGGACATATAACGAGAAGAAGAGTATAATCATCTGATTCTCTTCTTTCTAAGTTATTTGTCCAAATCTTCTGAAGGAGACGAAAAGACTGCGGTAGGAGGAGGATAGTAGTGTAAAAATATGATTGTCAGCTAATAAAACGAGTATGGTAAACATGTGACCAAGTTTTGGTATGAAATCTAATATTCTGTAATTCCAATGTCTAATGCTATCTCAACAATACTTACCAAATTGTGCTCATCGTTAAACACATTCAGTAGCGCTGGATGATTGTACCCCAACGGCATCGTAGATATTTGCGTATATGTATCTAACATAATATTATCATCAGCATCAACTATGTAGTTACCAGATGACTTCTCATAATTCACTAGGTACTGGGTGGATCCAAGGTTCTATAAAATAAAACCGTTATAGCATGTACTCGTAGGGATATATAGTACGAAAAAAATTGCTACTTACGTAGACATTGCTCAGTTGTTTCATTAATTGTTTGCTTTTAGGTCCAGGTATATCAGTTTTCATTGAAGGTCCAGAAGGTTCTTCTGGCACAAGATTGGCAACGCTGGCATTTCCTCTGCATGTTGCTAGTTTTAGTATATTTTCTGTAAAATAAGAATATTTTTAATGTGTTAATAATTATGGGAAAAAGACCTATAATGGCGCAGGAATATAAGCAAAGAATTAAATATTATTGGAAATACCAACGAAACGAGAGATCGAACAAGGCGATTTTTTTATCTTACAATATAACCTCAATAATGTGGTATTTATCGTTATTCATGATTGAATAATGTTGGCCAGCTAAAAAGAAGCAAGAATAGGTAATTATTCAGTTGTAAGAATGACTGAGTTAGAAGTCCTTGGAATAAATATGAGGGGAACACCAAAGAGAACTGAATGAAAAGCTTAGGCAGGTCATATTTGTAAAAATGATTAATAATAGTACAATTAAAAAATAGATAATTGAATTTAATTGATAATGAATTTCTCCTGCTACCTTTTTTTTTAATAGTACTAAAAGTAACATTAAAATTCAACTTTATTATAACCCCTAAATTAGTTTGATAGTATTAAAAAAATGTTATAAAAAAAAGTTAAGAAAAATGTTTCTTTATTGAATACGTTTTATAATTCAATATTACTTGTCATCTTTTCATTTCTAAGTAACTATATCTGTTTTTTATTTGAAATTATTTAAAAAGTAACATCAATTGTAAATCATCGATTGTTGTAATAAAAAAACTATATAAATCACTGTAGAATTAAAAAAACTTACCAATAGGTAAAGGATTTCTACAAACAGGTTTAACCAGCTTGGATAACATTTTTTCTGTAAATTTGGATCTGAATTCTTGCCGCAGACTTCAAAATTGATTTTGGTCCATATGATTTAGTTGCGCGCGCCCTGATATTCCTGTTCAACAGGGTGGAATTGATTGTACTTTTCTTTTAATTAAAATACATCAATCGCTACACGACGATACGGAATTGAGAGAAGGTTTAGTACATGACTTTAAACGATACACTACTTAATGTGTTTATTTTTTCTCCGATCATTTATTTAGTAAATTAGACTGGGATTTGGGTATATACAATAGACTAAAATTTGTCATAAACGTCTTAAAATATAGAAGAAATTAAAAAAATTATATATCTATATTTATGAATTAAATCTAAAGCTAAGATTAATACTATTACGAGAATTAATATTAAACTCAAGGAAATAAACTGGACTGTAACAACTATCAAGGCATATCAATCACGAGTACACTGAGCAGACTATACAGTAGAATACTGCGAGATCTAATTGAAGAAGACTATAAAGAGAAAGAAGAAGAAGATCAAAGCGGCTTTAGAGCAGGTAGATCGTGTACCGACAACGTATTTTGTCTAAAACAAGTCATAGAGAAGAGATCTGCTAGACATCTGGAAACCCATCTTACTTTTGTGGACCTACAAAAAGCATATGATACAGTCCCAGTATCGAGACTGTGGAAGGTATTAGAACAAACGAACATCAATCACAACTATATAGCTGCACTTAAAGAACTGTATGAAAATTCACAATCAAGAATTAAGATAGGTAAAAAACTCACAGATGCCTTCATAGTGAATAAGGGACTACGTCAGGGATGTCCTATCTCTCCTACACTATTCAAAATATATGTAGCAGCGGCACTTAAGAACTGGAAAAGGAAAATACACGGAATGGGTAATGACAGATACCTTTACTCTTCAGTTTGCATATGATCAGGTCATAGTGGCCGATGACAAAAACGACATGCAGTATATGATTAGAAAGCTGATAGAAGAGTATGAGGAATGGGGCTTGACAGTTAACGTAAATAAAACGAAATATCTATGTGTAGGCTCTCAGAGTGAGAATTTGGAGTTGGACAACGATCAAGATTTTCTGCAATGTCAAGAATATGAATATTTAATTATCACATTCGACAATACCGGAAGAGATGTGAAAGAGATAGAAAAACGAATAGTTACAGCTAAAAAGATAATAGGATGTCTGAATGGCATCTTGTGGAGCAAGGAGATAACAAAAAGGAGAAAATTGAATATATACGAGACAATGGTTAAGAGCAGCCTATTGTATGGAGCGGAAACATGGAGAATTCCAGACAGACAAAAAAAGAAGGTAGAGGCAGTCGAAATGGACGCGATAAGAAGATCTATGCGAGTCTCACGAAGAGAAAGAATGAGGAATGACCATATAAAACAACGAATGGGAATAGAAGGTACGATAATTCAGGATATTGAAAAGAAACAACTTACCTGGTACGGACACGTAGAGCGAATGCAAAATACTAGATGGCCCAAAAAAATACTGAACTGGACCCCAATAGGGAATAGAAAGCGAGGGAGAAGAGGATGGAAGTTAGGTGTCGGACAACGGAGAAGGACGTTCTAAACCGGCATATATATATATATATATATATATATATATATATATATATATATAATATATATATATATATATATATATATAACACTGTTTTTGATGGGTTGGAGTCAATAAAAGGGGCTATTTGTTGACTATTTTTTACTCGAGCTTTCAATTGTGATTACAATTTTTATCAAGAGCTTCTAAAAAATACAAAATGTCTTACAAAGTTGAACTAGAAATAACTTTGTAAGACATTTTGTATTTTTTAGAAGCTCTTGATAAAAATTGTAATCACAATTGAAAGCTCGAGTAAAAAATAGTCAACAAATAGCCCCTTTTATTGACTCCAACCCATCAAAAACAGTGTTATATTTTTTCCAAACGAGTCACAAGTACTTCTTTTTTCTTACTCTTATATATATATATATATATATATATATATATATATATATATATATATATATATATATATTAAACTCAACAGGCTTTCGGGTTGAACCGCGTCGATAATCACTGCGATATATATCATCGGCTGTATGCAATAGTGACACAACACAAAAATCTGGTAATTTTTCAAAACATGGCTTATTATGAGTTGTGCCACAATTGCATATCAACATTCTATCTTTTAAGACTAATTAAGGCAAAAACAAAACTGACATTTTTTTTGTTATTTCAATATAAGTTTCAATAAAAAAACTACAAATTATTTGAATGAGAAAATTGTGTTTATTAACAACTATAAGAAATACGAAATAAAAAAGTATATATTGATAATAATAGGAAAAGTTATTATTAACATTGCTTTAAATGCCGGTAGAAATGAGCGTGAATTGGAGGAACACTCTTGTCTTCACAAAGGCTAGTAAGGTCTTTTTCCTTCTTTTCAGTTATTGGCAGGCTGCCAGTGTAAGCCTTTTCTAGTTCTATAATATCTGTACTTCTCTTGTGCAAATGAAATTTTAAAATAATAGTGAGTACCAGTGCCTTTTTTAGATGAATTTCACAAATATCGTTGAAATAAAAACTATTTCCTTGGACATCTTCATTGAAAATTGTTGCTGTTCTAGTATTTAACTTTTTCAAGCCAAAAAATATATCGATTTGTATAGACGTTTGTGCGAAATACATCAGCAGGCATGAATCAATTTCTATGGCTCCTTTACTGCCTTCTCCTTCGTGTCAAACATAGCTGTGCACATTTTCCAGTCTGTTTTTCTGAAGTTCCTATATAGAGAAATTCTATGTTGACAGCTTAGATTTTAATAGAAAGCGGAAACGTCTTCTTTTGGTGTCTGTAGAGCAGCTTGTAGGTCAAAACAAGCAACTTTTTGTAAGTTAGTGACATTCTCTTTGTCCAGTTTTTTTAGCCCCGCGTTTAATTAGAACTAATTAAACATGAGGGAGAAGCACTTATAACGTGGATATGTAGTCTGCTGACGAAAATCTGGGAGAGGAAATGCCGAAAGAGAGAGACAATAGTACATATGTCTTATTCTTAAGAAGGGAGATACAGCAGTTTGCGAAAATTTCAGGAGTATCACTCTTCAGGATGTAACATATAAGAGTCATAAGAAGTATTTAAATAATTTATTAGGTATTTTTAATAATTTATTTTTATATATATCCACGTATTAATAAGAAAAAATATTGCAAAATAATGCTTACTTAAGATGCATATTTTATTGTAACCTACAACATGGCCTCTAGAGAAGGAAAACAACCCAAAGTGGACGTTCAACTATCTCTTGGACCTCAAGTTCGTCAAGATGAAATACTTTTCGGTGTAGCTAATATTTTCGCTATTTTCAATGAAACATTTGTTCATGTTACTGTCTTGTCTGGAAGAGAAACTATCTCCAGACTCACTGGAGGTATGAAAGTCGAAGCTGACAGAGATGAACCTTTTTCCTACGCTGCTATATTAGCTGACCAGGATGTAGCTGAATAATGCAAAACATTAGGAATCACTGCACTCTACATTAAATTAAGGTCTATAAGTGGTAACAAAACACAAACCCCTGGATCAGAAGCCCAATGTACACTCAGAGCTTTGGCTCGATCTAACATGAAAATTAAAGATGGGATCCAATTCCATCTGATTCCACCCGTAGGAAGGAAGGTCGCCGTGGTCGTAGATTGTAAACAGTGTCCACTTTATCTATCGATTTATTGCAATTTGTAGTCATAAGAGGTAGACTGGAAAAGCAATTAAACGAGCTAGTTGATGATTGCCAGGGAGAATTAAAAAAGAGCAGATCCACCATAGATTAAGTATTCGTGTTAAAAATGATTCAGAGCAATACGTACGAGCAACAGTTATGGCTGAATCTCCTCTTTATAGATTTCAAATAAACTTACCATTCTGTGATAAAAAGGCACCTGTACCAAGCTCTAAGAGTACTAGAAATTCCAGATAAAAAAGATCAGACTAGTAAAAATGACCTTAATGAAGACCGACAATAGACTAAAGGCAGAAGGAAACCTAAGAGGAACATTTGTAGTAAGGAGGGGACTAAAGCATTGAACGATACAGTGAAAGGTTTAATGTTAATTTCAAGAACTAAAGGGCAACAGCTGGGAATTTTCAAACTCTTTGAAACGAAGGCTAATCACTATAGTCTGATTATTAATGAGCAGAAAACAAAGTATATCGAATGGGGAGACCACATATGAAGACTACCACGAACAACGTGAGTAAAAAGTATTACTTTAAAAAGGTTACGAAGTTTAAGTAATATCTAGGAGTAACCCTAAAAAGTAAAGGGTAAGAAATTGAGAAGCGTATTTCGAGAGGAAGGAAAACGATCGGAGCTCTACACAAACTACTAAGCGCAAAAAACCATTTCCAGAGAGGCCAAATTGACACTATACGAACAGTGATCAACCCCACAGCTCTGTATGGAAGCAAAACATGGGTTATGAACAAAAAACAAGAAAATATACTGAACATCTGGGAACGGAGTGTCTTAAGAAAGATATTCGAGGGAGTAAATGACTATAAAGATGTTTGAAGAATGAAGACGTTTGAAGAAAATAATAAGGAAATTCGCCAGATCGTCAGGACAAATAGTCTTAGATGATTAGGCTATCTTGTGAGAATGGCAGATGGAAGGATGGGCAAAAGACTCGCTGCTCAGAGGAGAAGGAAAGAAGAGAAAAGGACGACCTTGAAAAAAAGTGACTGTATGTACATACTTTGCTAATTAAGTTTTTTTTATTTTTTATTCAACTATATCTAATTATCCACTTCAGTTGAAATTGACATTTCTTGCATAGGACCGATAAAAAAAAGCATCAGTCGTACAACGAAATTAATCAAAAATATTTTTGTCTTTTATTTTGTCTCCAAATACTGGCCTAATTCGTTTATGTCTATTTTGATACTCTAAGTAGGAAGTGAGAGACATTGACTAGGGGATCTATATTGAATTATACCAACAGTTAGAAGCTATTCTTAGCGGTATCTACTATATTTACTGGAAATTAAATACAGTAGATATAGTCACTACAAAATAGTTTCAAAGCCGTATTCTCCCACTATTTTGACTGGCAACTGAAATCTAACGAATAAATGATTCCGATATTTATAGGTATTTGATATTGTTCTATGAATTTTACTTTATAGTTTTAAGCTATATATGATATAGTACAGAGACGACGTCTCAGGGTCAGCAACCCCATTTGGGTCAGCAACCCCCTTCATTGTCATGAAGTACCTACTTAATTTTTTTTAAAACTTAAACATCATATAAAATTATCAGCAACAAAATAAGGCTGTCCTAGGATCAGCTTCTATTCCTTCCTATTCTTCGTCTTGGTCTTCCAATTTCGTAGTCTTATCACTCGTAAGTCGTCTTAAATCGTGCGTTTATTTTCTTTAAGTGGTCTTAATGTAGTATATAACAAATGTAATAACATTTAAATAGTTTTTTCCATATTATTTAGTGGCTTTACTCACGTATACCTCTCATCACTGATGATGGGATTTTTGCTCCGAAAAGTTTCTGTGATGTAGGACAAAAGGGTTCTTTTTAAATAAATATACCTTTTTATAAAGGATTTTTTAAATCAATTTTTTTTATTTTAATTTTTCGTTCCTCATTTAAACAATTTCTTCCACTAGTACCACCTATGATCTTCCTACCGAAACTCTAGTCCAAAACAAAGATTTCTTTATTGTCAACTGTCCCATGTCATTTTGAGCGTATTTCAGAAGTTTAAACACTTTATTTTATTGGCTGGAAGTGTTGACAGTGTTATAATATTGTTGCCGGGTTAATTGTTAATAATATAAATAATATAACTGGTAAGCATACGTTTATTTGTAGAAATTTATATTTATTATATAGTTGTTGAAGTTTTTTGAACAATTTGCTATCAAATTTAAAGGAATGAAGGTTAATTTATGGTATGCATATTCCGTTACATTCTTTCTCTTATTATCTTACAAAGTGGCTCAACATACCATTACGGTTAATAATCTTTTGACATAAACTTGTTTTAAAAAATCAAGTTCATTGAAATACTGTGTCATTTTCTATTCTAAGTTAATTAGAATTTGATGGACTTTTATCTTCTAGTTCTGGTTGAATAACTATTCATGCAATAAGTATTTTGTGCTGCGATTGTTCTTTATCTACGTTCAGGCACTCCCCACTAATTGTATGGTTAAATTATCCCGTGTAAAATAAGTAGATGTAACGAGCTTGAATATCAAATTCAGGGTTAGGTGCCCAGCATTCTGTATGTTACTTTTCAAGGATATCTTATCAATAAAACCACATAATCTCATTATAAAATTGATTTTCTTTGATATAACAAAACTATAACTTAGTTTTTGACTACTACAATAGTTTGTTATTGTTTTATGCTTCAATATCTTATCTTCAAATATCAAGGAAGTTTTATAAGAGATAAAGAAAGAATGTTCAATAGAAACCTGTGCATTTTTAAACCTAATTTTTGCACAACTTTCTTATTTCTCAAAGGTTGCAATAGAAGTTTGCACAATAAAAAATATTAGTGTATACTTGTAAAAAATTGTGTAATTTCTAGATAATATGTTATCATAAGGCTTTAGTCATTAAAACTTAAATCTAGAAGAAACTTAGAAAGTAGGTATGCAGTATGCAGTTTCTGATAATTTCTTACTATATTCCTACAAACTTTTAAAATTTTATTCTTCAGTAAAATGTTTTGTATTTATCAGCCATAGTCTATAAAGCTGCTTGAATATTTGCATAAATTATAATGAACTATAAACATAGACATTTTAAATGTAAATAGGTCCTAATTGAACAGTGATATACTTCCTTTGATTAGATGCCCATAAATTACCATTTTTTTGTTGTTTTAATCTTAAAAGACTTGATATTAGCAATATTGAAATAAATGATTTATATATTGATGAATTGATAAATTTCAAATTAAATTACATAAAAAGTTAATAAAATAAATATTAAATCCTAATATAATTCCAAAATTGTTTTCTACTAGGACACTTTTTTACAAAATAAAGGTTCATTTACATTTATTTTGGTATACAAATAATGATCCTTTAACAATTGACAAATAATGACTTTCGAACAAGTAAGAACAAATAACCAATACATTGGAAAAGTTATAAGATAAATTATGAGAATTATTACAAAAACATACTTGGTTAAAAATTAATTATAGTTGTACAAACAATAATAGCAGAGATATTAAAACAGTAATTAAGACCAGTGCTCTTATGGGTTGAGACTGGACGCTGACAAAAGCAATGAAAGTAAACTCAATGCTTTGAGAGAAAAATCCTCAGAAAGATCTTCGGCTCCCTATCAAACCTAATACTAACTAATACTGGAATGAGAACACATGCTGAGGTCCAAACAAATGTATAGTGCTAGCGACATCCAAGAGATTAAATCCCCAACTTCGTAAGGGCTGCCATGTCATAGGCCTTCCCTAATAACCGCCTTACCCAAGTTAATCTGGGAAGAAGTCCCGACAGCCTAAGGGAGAAGGCCCTAGGAAGTCCCACGAGTGGATATGGTCAGATTTTGGAGAACATTGGTGCCTGCCCACTGACTTAAACATCATTGTACGACCAATTCAGATGAAGCATTGTGCAGTCAGGCCAAGACCCACCCCGGTTGTAGTGCTACCAGAAGAAAGAAGAAGAAACAATAATACATTGAACTTTGTTTAGAAAACCTACTTGAAAATATTTTTTTCTTCTAATATCTGTGTCATGTATGCATTTTGATCTGCTTATTTTTATTTCATTTATAATTATTTTTGTTTTGTTTTTAAATTTATCAGTATTCTCATTTGCTATCATTTTATTTTTTTGAATTCACTATCAGCACTATATCATTAGTCTGTAATTATAGTTTTGAGTGCAGGATTCAAATTTCTGTATTCTATTGTTTGGTTACAAGGTTCCCCATTTTTTTTGGTTTTTTTTTATATGATTCTGTCCATTATTTTTATCAACAGTAGAGATTCAAATTGTGGCTTTGTTTGATTCCTTTGTGCATAAACTTCAGTTGCATGAGAAACTGATATATAGAAACACATAATCAAACTGTGTTTTTATCTTAAAGTTTGCATCACCCTGTGGAATATTCTAGCATTTGTAGAATACTGAAATTAAATCATAACTATAGCCTCATGCTTTTTCAACATCTTGTTTTTTGATTGATTTGCTTATGTTGAATAATACAAAAGTTAGGTGCTTTAACAACTAGACATGTTTTTTTATCAATTTTTATCTCTGTGGAAGAGAAAAAATAATCTTTTTCAAATAAAGTCATTTGTTACATAAACATCCAATGAATAAAATCTTGGAAGAAAATTCAAATTAACAATATTTTGGAAATCAAAGTCTAATTGAAAAAAAAAATGGGTATGAATAATGGGTGTTGCCGCCTCTAGCCCTCAGGACTTTTTGGAGCGGGTTTGGCAATCCATTCATGATATCCTGGATATTAGATTGGGGGATATTGGATAAGGAAGTTGAATGTTTTTTTAAACTGTTAACTTTTGAATGGGCTGTACAATTGTCAGTAATTAAAAGAATCTTTCGATATCCCAACTCTCTCTCCCACTTCAAAAGTTCTCGACTAAAAATTTCTGCTGTCATCCGCGATTTTTTATTAAATTTATATATAACAGGACGCTGATTCACACCTCTGAAACATCGTGGTTTTTGAGATTTCCCAATGACGATTAACTTCCTTTTTTCGGAACCGAACATGTTGGCGCCCACGCGAGTACAGTTACCCTTTCTTTTGATAATTGTCCCAGTTTTTTTGAGTCCCAGCTTGTCGGCATTTAAAACATTATCGTCACTGTTATTTTGTCTTATTGTAGGCCATGACTTCAACCAGGTGTAGGTGACTTCTTTGGAAACACTCTTTGCTTCACCCCAAATTTTTCCACGCGTAATTTCGTGCCTGGCCTTAAAACGGCTCATCCACCAACTCGATGCTTTAAAATTCTCATCACCACCTAGCGCCTGCGAAAACTGTGTTGCTTTTTCTTGAAGCAGTGGTCCACTTATTGGAACATTCGCAGCCCTGTTTACGGTAAACCATTTGACCATTGCAGTATCGAGTTCTTTATTAGTTGCGGCACGTAGTTTTTTCGATTTATCGGAAAAAGACGAACCTGCTTTGAAAATCTTGTGTTTATTTTTGAGCATGGTAGATAGAGTGGAACTTGAAATTCCTCCTTCACGACAATCTTCTGCTTTCTTCTTACCGTTCTCAACATCTTTAAGGATGTTAATTTTTTAACAGGATGTTAAAGTAAATGGTTTTATTTTAGGAGTCATAGTGTGTAATCTATGTGACTGTGTAATCTACAACACAACTTTCAAGACGCGAAAGCACAATCAGGACACAAACGATAAATATCTACGACAAAAACAACTGTGAAATGAAGTTCTGGTGAAATTTGTTTTATTTGTCATCTTTTTAAGCCTCTTTACATAGTTTATTACGTGCGAATGGTCAAACCCCTTAGAGTGGGGAATTTTCAAACCCCTACACTGACACTTGTGAATCATAAATTTTAAATTTCCGACAACACAATATCGGTCAGTAGATTAAACAGAAGAAGTTTATTGAAAAAAGTAAAAAACACGTTTTTCGATCTTATTTTCTCTCGTTATAACCAAATGTGCCTCGCTATAGTGGGTTATAGTTCAATAGAAATTTGACGAGACTTCTAATGTACCTCGTTATAAGCGAAACCTCGTAATAACCGTGTTCGTTATAGAGGGAGTATATTGTATATATACATAGTTTAGGCTTAGATTCATAAAGGTCATTTTATATCTTGTTTATCTTTAATAAAGGTACTAAACATTGTAATTCAAATAATCATCACGTGTTTATTTTTCTGGGCCAGTATTTACATTGCCGTAAAGAAATTATGAGAGAGATAGCACAGATATTTTTAGTAATTTGAATAATTGATAAAAATCTACTACTTACATCTCTTGTATTACTTTTGTTTCATAGAAGTGTGAATGAACTACATTTGGTTTACTATCTAAAGGTAACATTACTTTTTAATTTTTTTCCTTTAGACCATTGATTGTTAAAGTTTTTACAATAATTGAGATATTATTTCCTTAATTAAGTAGTTGATTTTTATATAAGATTTCTGCTTATTTTTCTGGCTTATTTACATCGAGTTGGGCAAAATTTTTCCCACCTTAAATAATGGTTTTCTAAAAACCTTTCTTTGTTTTTATTTCCAGTATTCTATACACAAATTTTTTTGACTTAAGCAGAGGAATTTTCTGACTTAAGCTATTGCTAAACTTACTTCTTAACTGTACAGATTCTTGGTAAATCGATGTTTTCCGTTTTCCCCCTACAAGGGAGAGTTTAAGGGAGGCGCTCGGGTTGCGTCTTCATTATGGTCCCAAAATTGACATTGTCAGCAAAATTCATCTTGTTCGTATGATTTTTAGAAGCTCAGAGGCATTTTTGTTTCTGACGACTGGAGTATTACGTCCAGTATGTTCAATTATCTTACTTTACAGAAAAATTATAAGATTTCTGTACTAGATGTAACAGGAGATATTATATACCACTCTGTACAAATACAGGAACATAAATCTATAATTCATTTTTGTTAAGATTTTTTTTGGTTATTTTTAACAAAAAAAAAATCTTAACATTATGCAGCATAACGATTTTTTTTTCAGACACCATCCATAATGGATGTAGAAACGGAACTTCCGAAAGAAGGCGATGTAAAGGACACTCCACAAGTTGAAGACGTACAAAATGGCGAAGAGGCATCTTTAGATAAGAATAAAGATAGTTCCAAAAAAAGCCACAAAACTAATTCTAAACGCAAAAGAAGGAGTCGATCTAAAACGCCTCAGGCAATAAATGACGAGCCCAAGATAATCCATATTTCTATGAAAAAAATTGAGGAGGAAGCACACAACGGAAATGAAGAAACTTCAGAGCAGGACATAGAAAAAAATGGGGAAGAAATTACGGAAGAATCGAAACCTATGAAAGATAAAGTGGCAGATGTAAATGGATCTGATGGAGAAACTAATTTGACCGAGATCAAAAATGGCGTGGACAAACAGGAAAACGGATCAAGTAACGGCGTTTCTGAAGATAATTGCAATGACGTTGAACCCACCGGTAATGAATTTGAAGGATTTATTGAGATTGAAGAAGCCAAAGAAGCCCTAAAAGAACAAGAGACTGAAATAAATGAAACTGTTAAGGATAAGGAACACTCAGAAAAACCAGGATCTCCGAAAAAATCGAGTCAACAAGAATCCAAATCGCCGGAGTCGGACTCTGTGGAAATGGAACCTCTTGTTGTTGGAGATGAGGTAAGTAAGCATTGTGTTTGTTTTCTTTTTAAATTTGTTACTATAATTATACCGAATATTTGCATTTTCATATGCTTCATTTTGCTCTTCAATTGCTGCCTTACACTCATCATCAAACCATTGGTTGTCTTTCCTTTTTTAGTTCCTAGCATTGATTTTGCTGCAGTTAATGTGGATTTACTTATTAGGTTCTACTAGTTTTTTAGTGTTCTCTCTTCATTTCCTTTATATTCATTCAGCTCCTCTTCATTTCTTCTTCAAATTTCTTTTGAATTTCAGGTCTTTTCAGTTTTCCCAAGTCTAGAATTTCTTTTCTTGGTTAAGTCGACTGATCCTACATCTGAAGTGCCTGAACTAGTGGTGGCCAGAGCCGCTGCATGCGCCCTGTCTACTTTTTACATCCAAAATGCTTGTCGCTGATCACTTTTCTATTAAGACACAGTCTATTTGGTTCTCAACATCTCCTCCAGGAGATATTCAGGTGTCATTGTGTATGTTTTTGTAGGGAAATGGAGTAGAACTGATGATAATGTTTTTACTGGCTGCAAAGTCAATAAGATATTGGCTGTTTTCATTCGTGTCAACATGTAGGCTATGCCTCCCAATTATTCCGATGCATTGTTTTTCAATTCATAACTTTGCATTTGTCTCACATATAACTATTTTGATGTTTTTTATTGTTATTTTGGTGTCCTTATCTTGTTCATTCGTTGAGGAGTAAACATTTATTTATTGTGGATAAGTTGAAGAAGTATGTAAGTCTTTATTCATATCCTACAAATTCGTTCATTAACTACTTCAAAATGTGTTATGAGGTGTTTCAGTATATTTCCATTAAAATACATTTTCAGGTAGAATCGGAGCTACAGTTTCTGGAAGAAAATTCCGATAAAGAATCTGGTAAGGGATCACCTGTAATTCCAAGATGTTTCACACGACGATCTTTTACAAGAAATATTCCGACGCCAAGAACTCCAAAATTATCCGATGATCCAGATTCTGAGAAGAATTCCGTGACTGATCAAACTGAAGAGACTATTTGGTAAGTAATGTGTTTCTTGTTGTTTTATTATTTTGTACTAATATGTCGCTCTTGGTAATCAATATTTGCTTCTTTTGTAATGTTGTAGCAGTTAAATAGCCGTAAGGTATTTATAAAAGCCACAATTTTTGTCCACGCTTCCATTAAGCCATTAATTTTATAATTTTGAACGATAACGCGCTTTCACACCGTGCTAGGACAATGAGTGTTTAAACAAAGTCAGTATTGTTCGCAGTTCACCAGTGATTAAAGTCTGTAGTTGTTGCTCCATTAATAAATATGCCTTCATTTACGTCTTCTAATACCTCTTTACACAATTCTTCTGAATACATATTAAAAAGTAAAGGGGAAAGCACACATCCTTGTCTTACTCCACGATTTATAGGTATTGCTCTCGATTTTTGTTGGTCTATTCGTATTATGGCTTTCTGATATCGGTATAGATTGGCAATGATTCTCAATACGTCGCAATTGACTTCTCGACATCGTTCGATCAGTGTTTGTACAGTAAATAATGCTTCTCTGATGCCAAAGCCTTTTCTGAATCCCAATTGGTTTTTATCTATTCTATCATCTAGCTTTTTATAGATACGTTTGTGTATCACTCGTAAGAACACTTTTAGACCATGGTTCATCATGCTAATTGTCGTGTGCTCTTCACACTTTATAGCGTTTGATTTTTTGGGTATTGGAATGAATGAATGACTAGAATAAGTTAACTAAAATAGAACAAAACTGAAATATGTCAACAAACTGGAAGCCTTCTATTTTGCACAGATTTGTAAGTGTCTTTTATATCTGCAACTATATTTTACTTCCTTTAATTATATAAAATACACATTTTTGAACAATTATCTCTATCTGTTTTAGCAACTTGCCAAACGATATCAATGTACCAAAGATAGATCTGAATGACTCGAGTGATTCGCTCGATACTCTCAACACATCCACAAATGTTGAGGTTGGAGGTAACTCGACACGTCTAGATTTTATAGAAACGACAAATACCCCCACAGAGGAAAACCACTTCGATGAAGCGTATCGGAATAATCTCAGAGCGAGGGTCTTGTCGGCCAGGCGACCGTTACGGGTGACGGACGACTACAGAAAGAAGGTGTTGATAAATGCCCAATACAGATCCGATCTTAATTTGCCATACGAGTTGGATGAACCGGTAAGTTTGGTCTTATATACTTTTTTTATACATTATATTTCTAATTTTTCAAAATCACTCTTCCGACTCTGAAAATGCATTTTTCTTCTTCCTGTAGTACCTTCGCAAGGTTGGCTATCATCACAGCTATCCTTATTGGACCATTTCTTGTATTAAATTGTCTAATTTTCCTGGCTGGTACGAGCTTCTTACATTCCATGTTACAAGTCTTATTGATCTACATTTATGTATTCTTAGACGTGGAATTTTATTATCTAAACGAGGATTTTGCTTGCTATATACCTGGAAGGCCTCGTCTTTTACATGATCTTGTCCTTCTCTGCCAGATCTTGGTTTCCGGATTCCATGATCAGTAACGGTTTGACTTTTTTGCGTATTTGCCATGGTGAATGACTAGGGATGTTCTGTTGAACCTTTAATGCAGTGGTTTCCCTTTGCCTTCTGCATTCTTATTCTGCCGTTGACCAATTTATTTTTTTTTCCGCCTTTGGAGTAGATTTCTCAACTCCGGGACAAAATATTACCCTGTTACCTACCGACTCATCCGGCCGAAGCAGTTGTAGTCCAGGAAATGAAGCATTTCACCTCGCAATTTTTTCTTACTGCGTGAATTGACTTGAAATTTTAACAGAAGGTAGGTAATAGCCTAAGGATCAAAATCTATTACGAACTAACGTGCGGCAAAGCCTTAGGGGTGGTTGCCACCCCATCTCGGGGGTGAAATTTTTTTTTACGTTTTAACCACAGGTTTCGTTAAAAAAGTGATTCTAAATAAAAAAATGTTTATACATTTTTTTTGTAAAACTGATATTTTTCAAGTTATTCGCAATTGAAAGTAACAACTTTTAGACGAAAAAATCGACGTTTTTTTCGCGAATAACTCGAAAGTGGTGCATTTTATCAAAAATATTGTAGAGAACAAATTTGTAGCTTTTAAAAAGACAAATACAATTCATTTTTTAAAATGTTTTTGCGATATAATAGGAACGGCCTATCAATGTTCAGCGGTTTTCTTCAAATGCCAAATTTGAAAGATTTAAAGTCAAATATCGGGAAAATGATGCATTTTTGGAAGAAAACTCATAGAACCTTTTTTAAAGAGCATAAATAGATCTATCATAAAAAAAGACTCTAGCTCAAAAATTGAGTGAGTTATGATGAAAATAAGGTCAATACCTCATTTTTTTTTTCGAAAAAATCGATGAAAACAACTCCCTCACCACCCCCATAATTAAAATCGATCATCACTCTTCTGCAATTCTCTTTGTACATGTATTGTTAATACGTCCAAGAAGTTTGACCCATTTAAAATGCTTAGTTTTAGAAAAAGTACAGCTTAAAGCGAGAAACGATTTGCAATTTCATATTTTTTACCCTTCTTTTTTTAAATATCCCCGAAAATACTGAATATATGAAAAAAATAAAAATGTACTAAATTGTAGCTTTTTTAATGACTAATGTTTTCCTTTATTTAGATTTGTTGTACAATGAATATTTGGCGAGATATAGCGGTTTAAAGCATCGATTTACAATCAAGTACCATCTTTTTCGAGCCCTTCAAACTCACCCCATTTAAAAACCAAGGGTTCCAAAAAGATTTAATTCACAGATCCTTGTAGCTCTTAAAAACTTCTACAAAATCGTTTTTGAAGGAACACTCTATCGTTAAAAATGAAGGAAATACGTTAAAAAAACCAATTAATTTTTTTTCCGGAAAATTCCATTAGTATAGTACAGTACATTTCGGAGCATAATAATCTACAAAACCGGTATATTAGCTAGTGGGGCATTATACATTCAAAATTTTAAGCGTTCTTATTTTGAAATCCCATACAACAGAATAAAACATCTGCTCATATGTCTACGTGTGTGAGTGTATATTTCGTTGGTTCCTCGTCAGTGATTTCTCAAGTTTAAAAGAAGTAGCACGTGCGCTGACAATATTTTTAAAATTATTCAGTTGTGTTTATTGTAATTGTGAAAATAAACTCATTATATTTTTTATTTAAAGTGCTTGAGCTATTCTTTTTTATATATACTTGTATGATTGTAGAATTTTATGATTGTAGGATTTGTAATGATATTTTACAATTTTTGAAAATTAGGGGTAGTTTTCACCCCTAAGAACAATCAGGGTTCATCGGCATGACATAAACTATAAAGCAGAGGGTGAGATAAGCTTAATTCCAATTTTTTATGCAAATCGTTCCAAGGCGAAATCATTTTCTTAGCATTACTAATTTATTTTACATTAATCTCTAACAAGGGTCGCTTTTTAAGGGTTGAAATATGATGGAACTTTATTCAAAAGCACGAAACTATCATTATTTAATTATTTACAATTTTTTGAAAATTAGGGGTAGTTTTTCACCCCTAAGAACAATCAGGGTTCATCGGCATGACATAAACTATAAAGCAGAGGGTGAGATAAGCTTAATTCCAATTTTTTATGCAAATCGTTCCAAGGCGAAATCATTTTCTTAGCATTACTAAATTTATTTTACATTAATCTTAACAAGGTCGCTTTTTAAGGGTTGAAATATGATGGAACTTTATTCAAAAGCACGACAAACTATCATTATTTAATTAATTCAAACCAAATCTTACCCATATTCAGGTTTAATATGTTATTTTTCGGCATGACATAAACTATAAAGCAGAGGGTGAATAAGCTTAATTCCAATTTTTTATGCAAATCGTTCCAAGGCGAAATCATTTTCTTAGCATTACTAATTTATTTTACATTAATCTCTAACAAGGGTCGCTTTTTAAGGGTTGAAATATGATGGAACTTTATTCAAAAGCACGAAACTATCATTATTTAATTAATTCAAACCAAATCTTACCCATATTCAGGTTTAATATGTTATTTTATAATGTTTGACAATTAGAGGTAGTTTTGACCCCTAAAACCCTTCAGCGCACTTCGGTTCGATATAGATTTTGATCGTTGGGCTATCACCTACCTTCTGTTAAAATTTCAACTCAATCCATGCAGGACGAAAAAATTGCGAGGTTTTAACTTTTTTCGAGCTTCATTTCCTGAACTATGGGTAGATAAGCAGGGGATTACTTATACCGGCAATCACTTGGTCCCTATCTGCGTTAGCCGTTAACATTGATGTTGCCCACCTACCATGTACAGTTGCAGATTCGGATTTTTCCTTCATCGAGATTAAGAGCTCTTTCCAGAGCTTTAGAAAACGAAGATGCATTTGAAAGTTCTCAAAACGATTCTTCATGTCTGTCACAATATTCTAACAATCTGAATTGGAGTGTAACAAAAATAACAAAGATTTTCACATTTAACTTTTTTATTGAGAACACTTGTTGAATAGATAATGAACTTATTGTTTTTTTTTATTTTCAGTGTGGTGGTATTAAACGCAAACTGCGGAGTATGACACCGGACGGTTCTAAAAAACAGAAATTAGAGTCACCAGGATACACGTCCTTCCTCTCCAACTCTTTCGCCGGTTTTACAACTAGGTTCAAGAGTCACGTCGATTCCAGCACACCAGAACTGATCAGTTACAAGGACGAAAGGAGTGATATTCATTTTAGTGATGGTTTGGAATCGCAGCAGATAGAAGATGCCGGAGGGGACGAGAGTAAGAAGTGGTGTTCACTTATGTAAGATGTGGTAGTAGGACATAGTATAAGATCTGATTTTTGTACTTGTTTCATAGATTAGTTACAGTAAGACAGTAAATATACGTGGTAAAAGCGTTTTTGTAATCATATCAGGGCGAGTCAAGACATTTCTACAACAACTCATCAATATTACTGTTATTTAGTTTTTAACAGTTGGTAATTCTTTTTTCTTTAAAAATTTCTGCGTTTTTAGTTAAAACATGGTCTTTATACATTTTAAAATAATTGTGACAATATATTTACATTTCGAGGGAATATTAACACTTTATTATGTTTTAATACGTTTTCGCAGCTGTCATTTGTCATTGACTTATTTCCATAATAACTTTTGATCTCAAGCATGATAGTTGATAACTTTTTGACAGGTGTCAATTTTGTCAAAAGGTCAACAAATCTTCGAATCAGGCACTAAAAATACAGAGTTCTCACACATTTGTTAAAATATCTAGAAAATCAAAGTTTCTTAGGTTTAATTATTTTAATTAAGATCATGATAACTGATCTGGAGGATTATGGTTGGCAGCTGTCAACTGTCATTAGTGAAAATTGTTCATAAGCTGGTAACAGTAACTATAATAAAGTTTTTCACGGAAAGGATTCACAGCTTTGACAAGATACACCAGCTTAATCAATTTTGACTTTGACTCCAATGTTCAACAAGCCAATCTAGTCTTTAATTTGTATACAACTGTGTTACCAGTTTATTCATTTTGACTGTTTTGACGAATTTCCCGCCACATTTTTGTTTTATTTTGCAAGGAATCGCCCTTTGAGTATGCTAAACTGAAGTTTAAGATCTCAATTAAATTTAAAATTATCTACCAATTAATAATTATTGTTTAATGTTATAATAAAAATACCATGTTTTGTTATGTGCACTACATCATATCACTAGGATTCAGATCTGCAGTATTTTTTGTTCTAAAAAACTTTTTAGTTCGTTTTTCATCACATAAATGTTTTTTATATTTGTACTGCTGTATTACTGTTTAGTTCGAATGTTTGTATATTCAATCTACTTTTTATAATCAACTTAGTTTTACATTTATTTGTATTATGTTTACTGCCTCTTTTTTAATACTTTGTAAGTTTTTACTCAATTTGATATTGTTCCAAAATCTTCAAAGAAACGTTATACCTTTTATTTTGTTAAAAAAGTTAGATTTGTTTTAAAGTCTGTACGTTTATAGTCAATATAAGGACTTGATAACGTGTTTGGTACATTTATTAAAAAAAATCCGAATGTTCTCCTAATCCTATTCCTAATCCTATAACCCTATTATCAAGAGTTTATATGAGGTTTAAGGAAAAATATAACAGCCATATGAAAATGACTTACCTTTAGTATACTACAGTTTTACCTTCTAGCGATATATTTATTCAAAACATTTGGTTTAGAGTGTTCGAAATTCCTCTTCATCTCAATATAAGCGTGCCTAATCTTTGTTTCAAGTTAAGAAAATAACATTACGCTTATGGAGATCAGTTTTGCCAAAACTCTCAGACACTCTTTTACACGGATGTCCAAGATATTCCCTTTGCTTAATTTTTGAATTTTAATTTTCAATTAACATTTAACTGTAAAGTCAGAATAACTACTAAATAAAAGCCTTATTATCATTATGTAGTCAGAGAACGACATAGAATCGCTGACATACGCACATCGTATTATTTTAAGTTGCAATTAGTAATTAGATATACGCATTCCAAGCGGTCCGTTTATTTGCTTTTAAAACTTTAATAGGCGGCAAAATGCATGATTTAAGTAAGCAATATTTTCTACTGATTTTTATGATTCATGGCATATGCTATTTTCACCGAAAAACAAAACTGTCTTTACTATAATTAAAATAAGATAAAATAAAATTATCTTTTGTAAATACTATTTATCTAATTAAAATCATTTTCCCTACTTTTCATCTTTTGTTTCGAATGGGCACTTTTGGTCAATTACGTTAAAAAACATTAATTTATTTCATGTCTGTGGAAACGAAAATACAAATTATACAACCCTAAATTGTGCTTGTGTGTGTCGTGGCAACACCGCATTTCTATCGTCCATAAGAAATACATGGCCCTATCTCCGCAATATTATTTTCCTAACGTGGAACGTAGAGTAGCAATTTATTCACTCTCGATTTAAATTATGTGACGAATGTCGTGAAGGTCATCGTTATATCATTTACATGATAAGCGGCCATCAACTCTTATCTGGAAGGAACAAATTGATGAAGAAACTAACTCCGAAGATGACCATGATCTAATAAGTGTAGAATGCAGGAACCAACTGAAAAACAACGGTTTGTCTTAAAAACAACACTAAATAATTAAGAAACATCCAATCAATTCCCCTAGGGTAATAGCAAGGCAATTTTAAAAAAAGCCAATCGACTTTAGAGCAATTTTACACCATTACGATCTTTGTGAACGAAATTTCATTGTTCATAAGAAAGGGCACCACTCCATTAACAAAAACATGATGTTTAATGCGATAAGGAAATTATGAGCTTATTGAAAGTCTTTTTGGGGACACTATTCAAGCAAATGCAATGAATAATACAGAGAAAGTAACACTATTCAAGGTGATGCAATAAATATCGCAAAGAGTGTACCTATACCTCTACGGAATCCAAATTTCTTTTATATCGTTTGTCTTTTTAGTGACATATATAACATTCGAAGTTAACCATTCCTATTACTTCAATCTAGGCAACTAATAGATGAATGTGGTGCATGTTCAATTTCTATAGTAAACTTTAGTTTTGGATGGCAACTGTTAAAATTGTCTAAAATTTCGTTCATTTTATTTGTTGGGATAGTACAGATCCAGTCATCCATATAGCGATAGAAAAATGGTTCATTAAAAACTAAGTGACCCATGACAGATTCTTCTAAATCTTTCAGAACCAGTTGAGCAATGACACTAGAAATACTTGCACCCATTGCACATCCATCCATTTGTTAGTATATTTCGTCGTTATATAATTATCACTCAAAACTAAAGTTTACTATAGAAATTGGAACAGAATAATAAAATTTTTTTCTGGATATCACCTTACATCGCATTTAACACGGTTAAAACTATGTGGTTTACAAAAGAAACATGGACTTCACGATATCCCAACTATAAATCTTATCATCCATTCTCCCATCAGAAGTCTGTAATTGTAGGTCTTGCTGATAGATCTATAAAACTAACAGATCCAGAATAATGCATATCCCGAACATCTAATCGAAACTATTTTCAAATCAAGACTAAATCAATTTTACAACAATACAAATAACAAATCCAACAGTATCAAGACTGCGTATACAACGCTTTCATATATAAAAGGTATATCCAAACAACAACTAATGAATCTTTTAGCCAAACATAACAACAGTGGCTCACAAAGGCAACCAACTTTTAAATAAATATTTCACCAAACTTAAAAAATCACATGTTGTTTGTTTACGAGATACCATGTATTATCTCTGAAGGTGTTTATATTGGGCAAACCAGTCAACTGCTTTAACCCAGAATTCGTTCTCCCAAATATGACAAGAACAACCTCACTGTGTTTACAAAACATGATAATGAGAAGAAGCATAAATTTGACTTCGAAATCATTTTAAAAACCGAACAAAATAAAAAGAAGAGGAAGATATACGAATCAATAGAAATAAAAAGGAATACTAACGCAATCAATGACAAAAAAGATCCAAATAAAAGATATTCTAATCTGATTTAAATAATAAATATAACGCCATAAAACTCTTTTAAAGTTATAACAATAAGTGTCTTATAATGTTACACGTTTTCGAGCTCCGATGAAGAATGAAAGTGAAAACAGATGACATTAAGCTATTAATATGTCACAAAAAATCACAAGAAAATTTTTATAAGTGTCAAAATTCTTGTCCAGAAGTTGAAACGAATGTTACAATAGTAATTAATGTTTTACACTCATAGAAACTTATTTGGAATAGTAGTTTGTTATAAAAATGTATTATAAACCATTCATTTACAATTATTAAACTTTCTTGGTCTCTTTTGATAAATTCACAGACCACTAATTGATCTGTGGATAAATTGTTTTGGGAGTAATGCAGGATTTATCATATAAAAGTAACTTGGGCAAATGTATGCAACCCAAATTACACTGCAAATTTGATTTTTGGTTATTGACAGCGCGCAGCGTTATGTCGTGTTTAAAACGAATGAGCCGGTGTTCCTTACATGCGAATAAAAAATTATTGTAAGGAAACTTAATAAATATTTGACAAAGACATAATAAAGTTGTTTAGTTAGTTTGTTTAGTGTTGTAAAGTGATAAAAACAATATGAACGGAATGAATACGTACAGACAAGGAAAATTTCAATCACCGAAGAGACAAAAAAGTCCTCAAAAAGTAAGTAAATATAAATATAATTTTGATTACCGATATTTCTAAGACTTATATTTAAAATTTAAAATATGTATAACAATTGTTTACTAGGTACTAACAATCTTGCAAAATAAAATATTCTTAAATATTCTTTCTTTAAACCTAAAACGATTTATTTACAATTTATATTATACACATCAATAAATGTATCTAATAGTAAACAAGTTTTTGTTACTATTCAAAGTATTTTGTGTTTTTATGTACATCGTATGTTGAAGATGTATAACGTGATTTTAGTAAAATACAGAAGTGCCGGGTATTTTTTTTATTTATTGTAGATAAAGAGAAATATTAGGCTGTAGGGAAAATTTACCGCAGTTGAATAGATGCATTTAAAATTTATCCAAAAATCGCTGGATATGTCCAATCTATTTAAGTCTAGCATTTTATTTTCATACTCGTATAGGTAGGTATACATTATATTAGGCTATGAGTGCAATAACGGCCCAACCCACAAAAATTCAAAATTTATTTTATTATAGAATAATAACTGTCTATACTTCATCAAATTTACTTACTGTTGTACGTCATACGCGTCATAGTCTTTCTACTATTATATTATTATTTATCTATGGCCATAGTCCGTGAGGTCACGTGATACCAACACAAAATATTTAGGCGATAGGTATGTTCTTTTTTAGAATCACTTTGCCGAGTACACTGGCATTACAGCCACTAGACATATTTTATTATATACGCGTAGAAATAATATTTAAAGATTGTATAAATGCATTATAAAGCGTTTTTATGAAGAACATTTGTTCGCACCACATTGTAACTTTAATTGAACGAAGGTGACATTTTGGTATAAATTGGTAACACTTATTTGACAGTGCGGTGCGGTGTTGACAGTTTTTGTACTTTATTATTTTGAATCTTTTTAGTGTGTTTTATTTAAAAAATGTCACGTAAGAATTTAAATAGTCGTTGTAAAGAGATGGTAATACTTTTGCAATAATTATGTGACCTATTTGATTTAAAATGGAGTCAGGATTTTTTTATACTTTGGCAACTATGTCAACTTAGATCTCTGTCAATTATAATGACGTGCAAAGGTAGGTAAATTAGATGAAGTATAGTTGAAATCTAGTTTTGGAATTCCATATTTGATAGGATTTTAGAGAAGCAAAGTTACCGTGGAGGAAATAGACCACAAATTTCTAGTAAGTGGTCATTCTGACTTGCCATCTGACCAAGATTTTGGTATAATAAAAAAAGAAAAGAAATTCCATCCACGTGCATTTATACAGCAAGACTGGTAGACATGATAAAGCACGCTAGAAGAAAAAATCCGTTCACAGCATGGACAAATCAATTTTTTTCTACGAAATTGTTTGAAAGTAATATAAAAAAACAGAAAAGTTTCCGAATCAAAAACAAAGCTGGAGTGGCTTAAAATTCAATGGTTAAGGTTTAGGAAATACAAGAAAACAATGGAATTGCCACTTCTTTATTCTTTTTCATGTACCATGTCTTTTCAGAACGTTGGATACCATCATAGCTATCTTAATTTTATTCACCGCCACCCTAAATAGCGTGCTTGTATCAACAGCATACCAATCTCGCAAGTTCTTTAACCATGAGGTTCTTCTTCGTCCTGGACTGCGTTTGTCTGCTATTTTTCCTTGCATGATATTTTGTAGCAACCTGTATTTGGGACCTTTCATTACATGTCCGAAATACTCCAGCCTTCTCTGCTTGAT